ATATATATATATATATATATATATATATATATATATAATTAACTCCCTTCTCCCCTACTTTCTGATGAAAAATACACATATCTGGGATTCCTGCTTATTGTTCCAAGCCTTGTGAAAAGATGTGTTGAAAAGGGATATTCAAAATGAAACAGGGAATCCCGGTTTGGTAGCTCCTGCTTCAAACCTAGTACTCAGGAAAGCAGGATAGAACTGTCTCAAGTTCTAGCCAAGCGTGGGCTATACAGCGAGTTCCAGACCAGCCTAGACTACATAACGAGACCTTGTCTGAAGTAAACAAAAATAACTAAATAAATAGTCAGACAGGAAGTAGGAGAAATTATGTTTGAGTTCAAAAAACAGAGCCTTAATAGGAGCCTACCCTTTCCACCCTGGCTGCCCTATTCTGGAAAACTGTCTTGACCTTAAAAGAGTCTTGAATGGGTGATAACAGAGAACGCGTTGTAAAAGAAAAACAACAACAACAAAAAAAATCCTTGAATGCTGGGAACTGAATCTGTGTCCTCTCTGGGGCATTACATGCTCTTGACCATGGAGCCATCTCTCTAGGCCCTCAACTCTCACCCAGTCCCTTACCCTTAATCACCAGATTTTGCAGTGCTTATCCTTGATCAATCACCAGAGATGGCAAATTCTGAAATTATTTAAATGTACTGGGCATATAACTTTGTCTAGTGCTTCAAAAATTAAATACCTTAAGCACACTTAATTTTGTCAATTTTCTATGTATGTTTGTTACATCATGGGCTAAATAGACTTAGTTTAAGAAAGCTCTGTGACCACTAATAACATTAGATTCTTTAGTTGTTTTTTTTTTTCTTTCCTGTTTTGGCTTTTTAATCTCAAGACAGGGCTTCTCTGTGTACCAGTCTGGGCTGTCCTGGAACTCACTCTATAAACCACGCTGACCTCGAACTCAAGAAATCCCCCTGCTTCTGCCTCCCAAGTGCTGGGATTAAAGGAGTGTACCACCATGGCCAGCAACCCTTTAGTTCTAATTCAAGTTTTCTCACCGGCTCCAAAGGTGTAGTCTATGACTGAAAAGTCATAGACTAGAAATTATGAACTTCACACTTGGTTTCTATCTCTGGGCCTCAGTTTCTTCATTATGCAATTAAGACTTAGCTTATCAGAAACTCCCTGTCATCTCGTTTTAAAATGTGTTGTGCCGAAATTCTAGATGATTATTAAGCTATAACATTTTCTTTCCCCAAACTGTAAATTTACTTTTTAAAATCTCATTATAAACCAGGCAGCGGTGGTGCATGCCTTTAATCCCAGAACTCAGGAGGCAGAAGCAGGCGGATCTCTGTGAATTTGAGCCCAACCTGGTCTACAAGAGCTAGTTCCAGGACAGCTAAGACTGTAACACAGAGAAACCCTGTCTCGAAAGAACAAAAACAAAACCTCATTATATATGTAAATGCATGAATTACACAGTAAAGACAGGTCGATTTAAGGATTGGGGGGAATATATGCAAAATATGGATAGATGTAACCAAACACACATAGCAAACTTGGACCAGAAACTAGAACTGGATTCCTTATTTCTAATCCATAGATGGATCATTTCCCTCTTCTCTTATCCACACTCTGCCAGTCCTTGGGTGTGTGTGTGGGGGTGTGTGTGTGTGTGTGTGTGTGTGAAGTTGAGGGGCTAGAGCCAAGGCTCCACGGTTAAGAGCATGTACTGCTCTCGCAGCCGAGCCAAACCCCTTCCCAGCAACCACATACAGGCTGTTCACAACCAGCTGTAACTCCAGTTCCAGGGAGTCTGAGGTCTCTGGCCTCCATAGACACCTGCACTTTCATACACGTACCCACCCCTGACACACACACACACTTGAAAATAAATCATTTTTAAAAGTTGAGGCCAAATTGAAAACCCATTTCAAACTGCCCAAATTAGATACAACACTTAAACGCTTGCATGTCCAGAACACTGCCTTCCAATAAAATAATTTAGATGAACCCTCTGAAGAAATTATTTGTACAAATTAATCCATCCTACACTCGCTCTACTTCCCTTGCCTGGGATGCAAACCAGGTGGTATGCTTTAGGAAGGAATCTTCCAGAGTTTACATTTTGGGACAGCCTACAGAAGTAATGCAAGGTGTTCACAGAGGAAGGAGGAAAAAAACCTGACTAGTTTCTAGGGTAACTAAGGGTATAGCTCACTTGGCAGAATGATTAGCATGCATGAGGCTCTGGTATCAATCCACAGTGCTGCAAAAAGAAAATTATAAACTGAATTGATTAAAAATACAGTAAACTTAGTTGGACATTAACAAATGTTTGTAATCCCAGAATTTGGGAAAGGCGGGGAGGGGGTGCCAGGAGTTCAAGGTCATCCTCACTGAGTAACCAGTTTGCTGAGAGACTAAGCTACAGGAGATCCTGCTTTCAAAACAACAAGGGGGAGGCGGCGGGGAGACTAATTTCCCAATGCTCTGGTACAACGTGGGTTAGAACGGGGTTAAATATCGAGAAAGGGGAGGTTCGATAAGATCCACAGATCGATTTGGGGCTCCCTGCAATCGTGTACTGGAAATGGAAGGGGTTAAACTTTGGAAGATGAATCTAAAAATCAAGAGTTTGGGGTTTAAGATTCTTGGCGTACAGATGGGGGCGGGGGTCACGAAGAGGTAAAGGAGAAGATCTGGAAGGAAGGAATCAGTAGAGTCCAAAGAGGAAAGGGGGAAAAAAGAAAGAAGGCGCAGGGAAACCGGTCTTAAGGAAAATCAGAGGGCAGGGGGTGAACTGGGAGGAGCTGGGGAAGAGCGCTGGTCAAAGGAAGATGGGGGAGGGGGTAGCTCACGGCTCAGCCCAGCACGAGGGACCAGGAGCAGCCGGCAGGGGAGCGAACCGGCATCTCCAGCCGCCTGCGGGAAGTCCGCCCCAGCTCTCGGAAGAGCTCCTTACCTGTTGGTATGAAACCGGTGGAGCGGATCCGTGCGATGGCAGGAGGACAGCTGGCAGCCGAAGTCGCTGATGTCCAGGCAGCCGGGTTCCTCGCTGGGGCAGGTGCCCACCCCACGAGGGGCTCCTAGGAGCGGGAAGGGTTCCTCTGGGGTTAGAAACTTCTCATAGGAAGTGGTGGCCGACGTCTCGTCGGACATGGTGGGAGATGGGCCGGCTCGTACTCCGGTGCTGGAGATGGGCTACTCCGACGCTCGCCCCTTCCCCCACGCTAACCTGTCCGCGGTGGCCGCCGCCCCCGGGTGTGCCCACTGCAGCCGCCCGAGGAGTGGGGGGCGCTGCACAAAGGTCGCTGGAGGCCGCAGGGACCCGCCGGTCACCCAGTCCGCTTCTCCGGAACCTCGGAAGCGGCCGCCGCTGCCGGGCCCAGCGAGTCACTGCGGCGCCGCCGCCCGGCCCGGCCGCCCCGCCCACTGCGCTCGCCGCCCGCTGCGGCTTCGGTCCGCCCCGCGGCCTCCACCAGCTCCAGTGGCCCCAGCCGCTGCCCTTGCCCCCTGCCGGAGTGGAGGAGGAACTGAATGTCGGTGGCTGAAGGCCAGGGCGACCTGGCTGGCCTCCTGGATTCGGGGATGGTTGAAGGGCCCATGCCTCAGCCAGCCTCTTCCTGGCGCTTCCCACTCGCATTCAAGAACAAAATGTTGGCCAAATAACAACTGCACTCCTTTAGACTAGGGACTTAGCCAAGGTCACACTGAGGGAGCGTGTGAAAAACGAGTCTCAGGTGCCCTTGAACACCAGTAGGCTGGACCACTGTGTCTGCTTCTATTTATACTGAGCCCCCGCAGTACGTGTGCCCGGTAAAAGCAATGAGCTAGCTGTAAGGGAAATGGGCCCTAGAGAGAAGGGGAAAAATACCCGCCTCTCTTTTAAGTCACTTTAATCCAAAAAGAACCCTAATACAGCTGCTAGGCTACTCAGAGCTGCTGGACGGTAAGGTTCTTTTGTGTTCTGCGCTTTCTTTCTCTTGTGGACTATGGAATGTCCTGCCAGTCTCCTCTGCTAATCCCTAAATCCCCAGCTCAAGTGCTATCTTTTCAGTGAAGCTTTCCCTACCTCTCAAAGGAGGAGACTTAATGTACTACTGCTGATAATGGCCCGCAACCCTGCTTCCGTTGATGTAATGCAGCTTAACTTGTTCGACCGAAATTGTTATGCTTTTCATGGCTGGCTCTTACCAAATCAACTTCTAGGTGGCACATGGGGGCTCCTTTCTCCTAACACTTAATTTTTCCTGGGTTCTAGCCAAGTGATTCCAAACATCCATCGGAGGCATGTTTTTGTTTTAATATCCAGCTTCTTAAATGCTCCCTTAAAAATGTATATACAAAAAATAAAAATAAAAAAGCCAGGCGGTGTTGGCACATGCCTTTAACCCCAGAACTCGGAAGGCAGAGACATGGAGGCAGAGACAGACAGATCTGTTGGGAGTTCGAGGCCAGCCTGGTCTACTAGAGGTAGTTCCAGGACAGGCTCCAAGGTTACAGAGAAACCCTGTCTCAAAAAAACAAAAACAAAAACAACAACAAAACAAACAAACAAACAAACACCACCAAAATGTATATACACATCCCTGGGAAAAAAAATCTGATTAATCCTGATTACGGGGTCCCTAAAAATAAAATTGGTGGAAACTCAAGTCCTTAAATAAAATGATAGAGTATTTTTTTAATATTTATTTATTTATTAAGTATACAATATTCTGTCTGCATATATGCCTGCAGGCCAGAAGAGGGCACGAGATCTCATTACAGATGGTTGTGAGCCACCATGTGTTTGCTGGGAATTGAACTCAGGACCTTTGGAAGAGCAGGCAATGCTCTTAACCGTTGAGCCATCTCGCCAGCCCCATGATAGGGTATTTGTATATTATCTGTAGAATAAAATGGCCAGCCAAAGAAACCTACTCCGGCCCTGAAATCAGGGCCAGTGAAAGAAACACATCCTAGCTCTGAGACCCTAGCCAGTGAAAGAAATGCTTTAACCCTGAACTCAGAAGCAAAGAAATACACCCTGACTCTGAAACCAGAGCCAAGGAAACACACTTTTGGCCCTAGAATCGGAGCCAGTGAAAGAAATATGCCCTGGCCCCAAAACTAGGGCTAAAAAAGACCAGTGAAAGAAACACAATTTGGTCGTGAACCCAGAGCCAAATATGCCCCTGACCAACTAGGCAGAAAACCAGCCAATCCCTGAGCAGAAAAACAATCCCTGAACCGAAAACCAGACAATCACTGAGCCGGAAACCAGCCAATCCCTAAGCAGAAAAACAATCTCTGAGTCGAAAACCAGACAATCTCTGAGCAGAAAAACAATCTCTGAGCCGAAAACCAAACAATTCCTTGAGCAGAAAACCAACCAATCCCTAAACAGAAATACAACCCCTGAGTCGAAAACCAGCCAATCCCTGAGCAGAAAAACAATCCCTCGAAAACCAGCCAATCCCTAAACTGAAAAACAATCCCTGAGCCGAAAGCCAGCCAATCCCTAAGTAGAAAAACCAATCTAGCCAATCTGAGCTCAAGGGACTGAAATCTAATTCCCACCCTGAAAATCTTCTCCAGTGAAAAACTCCTTCACTAAGAAACCCTATATAAATCCTGCATCTGGCGGGGCAGTGGTGGCGCACACCTTTAATCCTAGCACTCAGGAGGCAGAGGCAGGCGGATCTCTGTGAGTTTGAGGCCAGCCTGCTCTACAACAGCTAGTTCCAGGACAGGCTCCAAAGCCACAGAGAAACCCTGTCTCGAAATACCAAAGGGAAAAAAAAATCCTGTGTCTGTTAAGTTTGGTGTTGCTCTTTTTCCACCCAGGCAGAGGCAGTCACTCTCCTGCATTCCTTCCTCTTGAATGAGGTTTGAGTGAAGACTCCGGAACAGAGGCAGAGCGGGGAAGGGCTTGTAACACCCAGCAGAATGGAGTTGTTACATGCTGGGGCACCAGCCGAACTGTTACATCTATGGTTCAGGAAGCCCTCTTCTATCAGAGCAGAGTTGTTACACATTGGACAAACCTTTCCCCGGAGCCAGGCTGTATGCGTCCGTGACCTGTGTTATTTCCTGGTCCCCGCTGCCAGAATATGCTTCCATCCAAGCTGTAACAGTCAGCATTCCCTGGTCCCTGACTACTGGTATACTTTTCCGTCTGAGCTGTAGCACTTATTCCTTGGCTCCCGACTGCCAGGATCCCTTTCCATCTGAGCTGCAATGCTTACATAATCTACACACATTTCCCAAAAGACTTTAAATCATCCCTAGAGTGTATAAATGATATGAAGTTATGGTAATTTGTTCAAAGGATAACCAAAATCTGCAAGTTTTAAACACGTGTGCATCACTATGTGGTGGGAAGTGAACTGAGGACCTTGAGCATGCCTCACAACTGTTCAACCACAGAACTGCACCCTCCACCCTTTCGCCCCACTAATATTCCCCCCAAAGTGATTACTTCAATCCAAGAAAGTGGATTTCAGAGATGTAGCTAGCCAGCCCTATGTTCTGGAGGGAGGTATTGACATGCCAGCTAAATGTGGCTGCTTAGATTGTAAGAAAATGTATTGCATTGAGAATGTAGCTTTCAAAATTATCATTCCTTAAGATCTAATTGAGTTGGCCAATTTAAAAACTGTACAAATGATGGTGTTCTGCATACAGTCCCCGGTGCTGCAATCCACAGAGGTCTGTCTGGGACTAGTGAGGTTGAATGAGTGACTGCGTATACAAAGGAAGTTGTACAGCATTTTGAAAATAAGTGTTGGGCAAGTGGAAACCCCTTATGCAGCATCCTGAGGCCTAGGAGCATGCTCTATCCAAAAATGTAATATGTTTACATTTCCCAGGAACGTTTTATTTCAGCAAATATAATGAGCCATATTAAAGTCCAAAAAATCTTGTACTCAGTTTGTAAGTTTACTTTCATAGTGGATTTATATAAGAAGCTGAGTGTACAGCTAGGCAGTTTTTGTTCTCAGTCCCTCCTGGGGACTGTAGATTTTTGCCTACACAAAAGAAGAAACTATTACTAACTCAGGGTGTAAGCCAGGGAATATGACTTGTGCCAGCAATCTCTGCACTCAGGAGGCTGAGGCAGGAGGATTGGCAAAAGTTTAAGTACAGCCTGGACTGCCCTGTAGGGCCCTTCACATAAAATAAAATAGCATGATGTAATCATTCCATATCTTCACTATTCAAGGCGTCACAATGATGCATCAACCTCTCCTCTATGCTTATTTGAACCTCCATGTTTTGAGTTTTGTCAGAATTTGCATGTCAGATTTCCTTGTACTTCTTGCCATACGACAATTTGTTGGGACATTAGATGGAAAAGTGGATGTGATGGGAAATCACACATCTAAAAGTAAGAGCCAGACAAATTTTTGTAACGACCATGATAGAAGTTATGGCTAAGAATGCTGCTCAAAGCAAGGGAATAGGGTCCATGCCCAGACTGAACTCTGCAGAAATAGCTATAATTGTCCAAACTATCCATGGTAAGGTGATCAAAGCATTACCTATTATTTATTCATTTCTTTTTTTCAAACATATTATTTTATTTTTTGCTTGATAAATAATACCATTCAAAATTTCCACCTCCTCCCCTACCCCCGTTTCCCTCCTGCTCCCCCACTCACCCTCCCCTTGCAGTCCTAAGAGAGGGCAGGGTACCCTGATCTGTGGGAAGTCCAAGGCCCTCCCCCCTCCATCCGGGCCTAGGAAGGTGTGCATCTAAACAGACTAGGATCCCAAAAAGCCCGTCCATGCAGTAGAATCCAATCCCAGTGCCTTTATCATTGGTTTCTCCGTCAGCCCCCATTGTCAGCCACATTCAGAAAGTCCGGTTTATATTTTTGTATTTATTCATTTCCTCTCTCTCTCTCTCTCTCTCTCTCTCTTTCTGTTTTTAACAAAGACAAATTCTCCCTCAGGAAGCAATCTCATATCCTGAAATAACTATTCTGAACCAAGGCCTTTTCAGTTTCATGACCTAGGACAAGACATTCTTTAGTCTTGAGTGCTATTTTGGATTTCTGAAGTTAATGTTAACAACTCCACAAAGCTGGTAACTTAAGACAATGAAAATTTCAATTTCTTTTCAGGCAGTTCTGGAGGCTGAAAGTCTGAGGTCTGGGAAGGCCACACTCACTCCAGAGTTGCAAAGGAGGAGAAATAGTTCCTTCTCTTTCAGCTTGTGGTGGCTGCACATACCTTCCGGTACTTGTGACTTCATCTTTACATTGCATCTTAGTCCTGACAACATTTACCAGGTTTGCCTTATGTCTGTAACCACACTGTCACAAGGCTTCAGGCATAATGATCTACTTCAGTATATAGTCCTCAATTCAAAATCCTCAACTGAATCTACTATTTTTCTCATCTACAGTAATATTATCAGGCTCCACATATGAAGATGTAGATATATCTTTTGAATGAGCTGCTGTTCAACCTACCACAGAGCATGGTTTAAATCATTGGTTCTAGCCGGGCGGTGGTGCACACCTTTAATCCCATCCCTCGGGAGGCAGAGGCAGACAGGTCTCTGTGATCTACAGAGAAATCCTGTCTCGAAAAAACAAAGTCAAGCAACCAATCACTGTTTATTCTTTGAACCATAGCACATAGAGCTTGTCTACTTATGAGTCCTTTTATAAGCTATGAGATTGTGAGGGCTACAGAGACAAGGAATGAGTCCACAATTTGGATGAAGGGTTTGGGGTTTCAGGTGTTTTGTTGTTACCATGGACTGAACCCAGTGTCTTGCACACACTAGGCAAGTGTTCTATCACTGAGCTACATCCCTAGACCAGCCTTTAGTCACTGAGTCAGAGTTCCTCCTTCATTTTCATATTGGGGTTTACAGATAAATAAATGACAACAAAGCGGTTGATAAAATCAGTTTATGATCATTTCTATCATAACAAGAACAGCTAACACAAAATAATTGTAATCTAATTAAAACATTTAATAAGCACCTCTGCTTAATAATTGTAAGCATTTTTCATGTCTTACAGTGGCAAGGAATTACAATGAAATTACACACATATACATATCCATACATATCATCCTTTCCAATTTGACAGAATATGGTGTGTCGGTCTCAGCAAAACAGGAGATGTTAGGAACAAAGTGTGCCTCATTTTAAAGTTAGGCCACATGTTCAAGTCTGATTTGAGAGGCTTTTAATTTGACTCCTGTGGATGTATATCGCTTTTCTGCCAACACCAACACAGGGAGAGCACACAGGCCTGCTTTACACAGTCTCTGAAAAATATGAGCTAGATAGGGGTCACCCATATGATTATCTGAAAATAGAAGCTGAGCAGGACCAGGGGCAAGTGCTTTATGGAGGGCATGCTGACAAGTGCAGGACAATGAGAAAAACAGGATAGGACATGGGGAGGAGAGGGAAAGAGATGAAGGCAAACAAACTGCTTTTGCCATTATTTGAAGAGAGGCTCTGGAATAGGTTATGCAGTATGAATTGGTTATTCTTAAGGCAAAAAAAAAAAAAATCATTGTAGCTTGAACCCTCACCATCAGGCAGACACTGGACACAAGTGCACAGGTTGGTAGGGAAGCTCTTCTATGTGTTTGGTTGGAAGTGTCACCCCAGCCGCTGGCGTCCACGTGTCCTGGGAGTCTGAAATGCATCCCAGGCCCCCTCCTCTGGGAGTTGCCTCAGTTCAGACTCCACCTACGAGAAAGCATCCAAAAGGTGACCTCTCCCCAGAGAGACTCAAGACCACGCCCACAGGGTATTTAAACTACACCCCCCCCCCCAAACAAACACGTGGTCTTTCCAGTCTTCCTTTCCCCTCTCCGGTGGTTTTTTCCAGTCTTTCTGCCAGGAGCACTGGCTTCCATTAAACTTGGGCCTTTTCTTCCGTGATATCTGTTAGGGTAAAAAAACAAAAACAAAAACAAAACAAAACAAAAAACAAAAAAAACCCCACAAAAACAAAACCTCGGCTTTTTCTAATTCGGTTTGATTTGGTCTGATTTGGATTACTGCATCGACTGAGAGGCTTAACTTTTCATCTCCAGAAGCTTAAATGGGTCACGATGAACTATCACATAAAATGAATTTCAACTTCACACTGATTGGTAACCTTGTGAATCAACCTCCAACAAATGAGAAAGGGGAGGAACAGTTGAAAGATCTCTGCACGCAGATATTGAACCTCTCAAACCGAATTAAAGGTGAAAAGTCCAGATTTAATGAGTACGAGCTCCCGGATGATTTCTCGGCCACCCGAGAGAAGGGGGAAAGAGAGCAATAAAAGCCAAAACCGGTCTCTAGGGGGACAGTTTAAAAGCCCTGTAGGTGTGGTCTTGAGCATCTCTGGGGGGAGGAGCTGACCAAGGGCGGGTTTTCTCGTGCCTGAAAGGGTTTGAAGAGAGATGGCGGGAGGGAGCGGGACCAGTAGAGTTTCCACCTGAACACCAGTCATTTTACAAGCTTCGGCATAAAAGGTGCTCGGCAGTAACAGTGAGCTAGCCCGCCAATGCCTAGCAACTCTCGGGGCTGGAGGTTGGATCGGGCGGCGGATGTCTGCGGAAGGCTCGGTGGGGGTGGGACCGTGTCCTAGGTGACACCGGAAGGATACCGCGAGCTTCTCAGGGGCTGCGACCTTCGCAAAGGCTTTTGGAACCCGGTCCGGTATGGCTACTGAGGTTGCCGCTACTCCCTGGAGGCCGCAGGTCTGGTCCGATCGGTCTCAGTGGAGAAGGGGGGACAAGGCGGGATGTTGCGGTTCCTCTTTGTGAATCAAGGCTAGAAACGTACAGCCACAGGAGGCTCAAAGAGACGGGAACTAAAATGAATAAGACTGAACGAACTCACGGCGACTGTTGATGACGGCACACCGGGGTGTGTCGCTGTTTCCGGTGTGCTGATCTCGGTGTTTGGTTTTGGTTTTTGTTTTTTTGTTTTATTTAGGTTGTTGGCGGTCCGGGAGCAGCCGTCTGCAAGGATGGACGCTGAAAGATAAAGCGGAGAAAAGATCTCGGAAGAAAGTGTTACTGGCCGGTACTCATTAGGCCCTTGGTTTCAAATTCATTCGGCCTTAGGTGGGGTGGTTGTTTTTAAGTACAAATTATTGACTGCTGCTGCTGGTACATTCTGTGGCTTCCCTGAAGGCTGTGTGCCGGGAGGAAATTAGGTTTTATTTTCGCCGCACTTTACATTTTGAAGTTGTCATTTATTTTTGAATTGGAGCAATCACAGCACAAAGAGTTAGGGACCTGGAGACTGCCCTGGGGGAAGGATTGGACCGGTTTCACAGCTTTTGGGCAGCAAGTAAAGCAAAACTTTGCTCCAGACATCCCCCCCCCCCCCCCCCGCGCAGTGCCTTTTAGCTCCCTGTGCAGCTGTTTGTCAGAAGTGGGGAGCAGAGGAGGTCAAGTAATACTTAAGGCCCAAAGTGGTTTATTGCTGGCAAGAGAATTTGATACTATACTTAAGAGCAGGACCCCTCTGGGAAAATCAGTCTTAACTGAGGTCAAAGTCTACCCTTGCTCTTGGATCTGTCTGTAATCTGTTTAGGACAAAGCAACGCTCCAAGCATCTGAAATTCTTCTGTGCTAGTTGTTTGTTTAATAAGCCAATCAGTTGATAGCGTGAAACCCTGCACTCATCAAAATCTGAAGCAAACTTTTAATGAGTCTGAATGGCCCAACCTTCTTCTTTGTTAAGGAGAGACTAGAGTGTAGAAGGTAATCCAAGTTACTAATTCTTAAATTTGTCTGTGCATCGTCTTTATCTGAGGAACTTGTTAAGACGCAGACGAATGGGCTTCACTAATAGAATTCTTCCATCAGTTTTTGTGGGATGTTTTCCAGATTTTAGATTTCTAACAATTTCCAGGAAAAAGCATTCACCATAGGCCCACCCTTGGAAAATTGTTGAGCTGCTATTCCTGTGTCTTACATGTGTATCAGCATAACTATGAATGTGACCCAACACATTGCTAGGCCACAACTTTCTGTTATAATGTCAAACATTTGAACACATCCTGGAACAGAGCTCACTTGTAAACATGAAAGTGTTGTTGGAGGGCTTCAGTGCAAGTTACCAAGTAGTGTTCCCGCTGACCTGGCTCAGAATGCTCTCTCCTAGTAGTGTTGGACTCTAGCGTCCAAATACCGAGGAGGAGTCTCCCGCAGAGACCACCTCACACGCCACAGCCGATGCAAAAGCATGAGGATTTTATTAATTCTGTCATGACAGGGTCCCCCAGCGTCTGGGAAGCCGAGGGACCTCGAATAGCGGGTACAGTCTACTTTTAAAGGGGCCACAGAAGCAAGGGGGGTTGTTCTTTGACTATTCTGATTGGCTTATTCGAAAGGGCTATTACCAATAATTGACTGGAGAGCTGTTGCCAGATCAGATGAGGTAAGAGGTCATTTTGACCCCGTTTCCCAGGGGACCGAACCAAAACATACGTATATGGGTAATGTTCAGGAACTGAGTACGTGCGAGTGTAGCTGTTAGGTCCTTGGTTCCCAGGGGAGGAGGGGAAGCACTATGGCACAGAGGCTGAGAAGATTCAGAATTGTCAAAAATGGCTTCAGGATTGTCTTAAAGTCTTACAGTAGCAAGAAAAGTAGTATTTATTTTGTTAAAACTAAGGAAAGACCTGTCTTCTCTCTCTCTGCCTTGCCCTTGCCAGTGTTATAGAAAAAAAAATGAAACAAGTATTAGGAAATATGTGACTATAGTTTGAGCTATGGAATCAGGTTAAAAGAACTGGGAACTAGTCCTTCCTCCACATACCAGGACCTTTAGGTTGATCCATTCCTACTGCCAAATGGTATTTCTTGTGGGATTCCTAATTCCTGGGGACTCATTCCACTTGGGAACTCTTGGAAGCCTAAAACACTCCCAAATGGAGTTTGTTTACATATCACCTGGAAAACTTTGTGTCTGTATGCATGCCTGTGTGTGCCAGTGCTCCACCTTGTACCATCTGTTAAGTAAGAAATAAGAAAAAGGACAACTCCACTGGCACAAGAAATCCAATTAGGCCAAATCAAAATGCCCATCATCTTATTAAGAATAGCCAAGCACATGGTGGGGAGACATGACATCAGGGAGCCCATGCAGACCTGAAAACCACGTGTTTCTCCTCCAGGGAGGGGTCAGGACCTGGCATGCTGGGATTTGGAGTCCAGACCAAAGCAACACCCAGGTAAGGGAAGCTGGGATGGATGTCAGGGGTTGGGGGCTATGCTCCCAACTCAGCACCATCCACCGTTTTTTTGAGAGAGGTTCATGTTGTACTCAAAAAGATCTGCCTGCCTCTGCTTACTGAGTCCTGGGACTAATGTGCACCACCACACTCAGGTTCTGCTGGTTTTTTGACACAGGGGTTTGTTTATCTCTGTCTAATAGTGGTAGGGCCACTGAAATGTCCAACGTGAGTGAGAAGAAGACACGAGATGCAAACAAGCCTATTTAGGAGTTTATTAGAAGAGAGGGGTGCTCACAGGCCTGAGGAAACGTGTGGGGACGGGGGAGAGGGCAAAGATGGCGTGTCGAGCTTTTGAAGACTGCCTAGCACATGCACACAGCGGGAAGACGTGACTATGTCAGACACTGATGACGCAGATGGCGGGTGACCCACGCATGCACAAAAGGGCTTTAGTTAAGTCACACGTGGAGGTAACCATGAATGTGCACACGTGGGTCACGAGGGCCCTTTTGTTTATTAGAAAAATTTGGGGGGTTCGGGGATCTTAATGGGTGGGAATGGGGCACCATAAAGTCTCTCATGACTGCTTCACGCTGACTTTGTGGGTGTCGACGAGTTGTAATGTTTGACCACATCCTGGGGTGGCTGATCACGGCTGTATTTTCCAGGCTCTGAGGAACTGGGTCGGCTGGTAGTTTGGACCTCGCAAGATGCTGGAAAGAGAAGAATTATGTTTGGGAGGGAAAAAATTAGATCCTAGTGATTAATAGAGGAGAGTCCCAAGATGGAAGATAGAGGGGGGAGGGAGTTTAGGGGTTCCCCATACCAGGAATGACAAGAAAAGAATTAAATGATACTTATCGGGTGAGTCTGGTCTGTTTAGGTAGGGCAAATTGGCTCCCTGGAGCTTATAAGAATGTTTGAAGAGAAATAAATTTTAGACATATTAACAGCCACCACACACACACTGCATTTTTAGGTGTTTTAGGGAATGAACTCAGGCCCTCATTGTAGGGAATGAGTCTTCCAGCTCTGGAGGTGCAGATATCCTGACTTCACAGGAAGCCAGGCTACCTGAAGGCTCGAGCTGCCAGGGCGAAGGGGGATTGGTCAGTTTTTCCTGCTCAGGGATTGGTTAGTGTAGTTGGTCAGGAGCAGAGATGGCTGTGATCTCAGGACCAAACTGTGTTTCTTTCATTGGTCTTTTTTAGCCTTTAGGCTCTAATCTTAGGGCCAGAGCATATTTCTTTCACTGACTCTGATACTAGGGACAATGTGTGTTTCTTTGGCATTGGTTTCAGACTCAGGATCTGTTTCTTTGGTCCTGGGTTCAGGGATAAAGATGTTTCTTTCCCTGGCTCTGGGTTCAGAGTCAGGGTGCTCAGTGATTGGTTGGTCTCTTGCTCCAGTTGGCTATTTTACCCTAGACTCACGCCTGCATGGCAAGTACTTTACTGAGTGAGCTATCTCCCTAGCATAATAGAAACAGCTTATCATTAGTAGAGCCTAGTCTGGTATGCCTGTAATTTCAGTACTTAGGAAGCAGAGGAAGGAAAAATCACAATTTAAAGGCAACCCTGACCTATATAAGGAGAACTTGTCTGGAAAAAAACAAAGAAACCAACTGTTTATAATTAGCACCAATATTTGCAAATGGTGTAGGAGGTTCTTCTGTTTGTGTGTTGCTTTCAGTGGTTGAATAAAGAGACTGCCTTGGCCTTTGATAGGGCAGCCCTTAAGTGGGAAAAGTAGACAGAACAGAATGCTGGGAAGAAGGGAAGTGTGGCAGACGACATGTAGGTTAGAATCTTGCCGGTAAGCCACAGTCACAGATGTAATAGAAATGGATTTAATAGAAATAGGTTAATCAAGATGTGAGAGTTAGCCAATAAGAGGCTAGAAATAATGGGCCAGGCAGTAATTTAATTAATACAATTTCTGTGTGGTTATTTCTGGGGTTAAGCTGGCCAGGCAGCAGGACACAGCCCGCTGCTCCTACAACATGCAAGGTAAGCTCACTAGAGACACAGACACATTTTTTTTTTGAGACAGGGTTTTACTGTAGTTTTTAAAAATATTTATTTATATATTATGTATACAATATTCTGTTTGTGTGTATGTCTGCAGGTCAGAAGAGGACACCAGACCTCATTACAGATGGTTGTGAGCCACCATGTGTTTGCCGGGAATTGAACTCAGGACCTTTGGAAGAGCAGGTAATGCTCTTAACCACTGAACCATTTCTCCAGCCCTTTACTGTATTTTTTTAGAGCCTGTCCTGGAACTAGCTCTTGTAGACCAGGCTGGCCTCAAACTCAGAAATCCACCTGCCTCTGTCTCCCAGGTGCTGAGATTAAAGATATGTGCCACCACCAAGGGAAGGCGTTTGTTGGCAGCTGGCAGCTGCACAAGGAACTTGGTCAAATCATGCAGCCCCAAGCCTTATAGCCCTTTGTATTTTATGCACAAAAACTGCATCCTGATTATCAAACTTCAGATAGCAAGAAGCAGAACTACAGAGGCCAGAAAGCAAGGTTCACAGGGGGCTTTCTTGGAACTACAGATTAGGTCTTTGGTGGACTAGATCCTTGTACCCATTTTTACAGGTATTGGGGCCTACTTACCGGGTTTTAAGGTCAGAATGGTATCTCTAACATGGTGTCAGTTGTGCTAAGGTCTGTTACAAGTCTATTAGGTTTTTAGTCATTTTTAAATTGAGTTTTTTCTCCTGCTGTATATAGACTTGAATTCCTTATAGGTACTGATACTAAACCTCCTAATAGTTACCTTTCAATTGTCTTACAACTTGAGGGTTGTCTCTGTACTTTTAATTGTTTTCTTTGCTGTGCAGAAGTGCCTTAATTTGGAATAGTGGGACAGTGGGGATCCTATACCAGGAATTAAGATTATAACACATCTCTGGTGCTTAAGGACTCCACGGGGTCAAACCAGTGATGAAGTTTCATGAGGAAGCATATTGCTGTTTCTGGTGTGTTGCTAAGAGTGGAGCATCCTCCAGTTATTATTGGTGAGGAGCTGGCAGGATCTAAGGGAGGGCAGCAGTGGACAGACTAAGGGAAGGTAAGATCAGTAAGATATTGCTAGCCAGAATACACATATCTGTGTTGTGTCTGGACAGAATGAGTTTAGTGCTTTGGTTTCCAGTTGTGCTGCGGGTAGGCAAGTCTGGCAAGTGCCAGACTGGTTGCTTTTGTGAGTACTACCTTTGAAGCTCTGGATGAGTAAAAGGAGTGACCCTTTATTTTTGCCCTGTGCAGCCTACCAGTTGGCATCTGTTTTGCAACATGGACAGTTATTATAAAATTAATGGTTTGGAGGCTGATCCATATTGTGTTAGGAAAACTCACCTGGAATCACAAGACTGCCCTGTAGGAGTCTGGGACAGGAACTTCGATGTTAAAATTTTGGTGCATAAACATACTTTGGAAATAAAATACAGTAAAACTTCCTTTAAGGCATGTTTCTGGTTAATTTATGTTTCTGTGCACCAGCTTGGACCAACTTGGACTGACAGGGTGTAACTCTTGTCCCCGAACAGCTTAATCCTGGTCAGACCATTTGCCCAGTCAGTAGCGGGACACTTGGAAAAGACTCTTACTTGATGGTAGATAGAGTTTCCCACTCCACGTAGAGCCTGCAATCTCTAGTTAGGACAGTAATACAGGAACTCAGGGATGGGCTTAACTCTCATGAGCATTTGAAATTCACATTTTCCCCCGGCCAGCTCACACTCACCACTGTGTACCTGCCCTAAACTCTAAACACATTTCAAATTATTTTGAATCATCCTATCAGCAGCTTTGTTCACCAGAGAAACAACTGTAAGTGTTGGCAGTCATGGTTTGTGTTTTTCAAATTTCTCTGTGCCTCCAAACCAGCGAAAGGAGTGCTTAGCACAGACAGTTGGGGGCTGGACACCCAAATGTAAACCTGAAATAAATTCCCTGGAGATGGAACTACTATTCTCCTGATGCCTAATACAGAGCTCAAATTGGGGAACCTGAAAGTGTTGTGGGAGCTCACAGCATAAGACTGGGCCTAGGTGAGAATGGTCTCCCACGTGAATATAAATAAATTGATAAAACCACAGTGTGCATATATATGAACATGAGTTTTAAAAGGGTGCAGTTTTATTATTTTTAATATTATATGCATTTGTGTTTGTGGCTGTCTGTATGTAACATGTATGCAGATGCCTACAAAGACCAAAAAAAGGGTGTTGGATCCCTTGGAGCTGAAGTCACAGGTGGTTGTAAGTCACCTGTTATGGGTGCTGGGACCTGAACTCAAGTCCTTTGGGAGGGCAGCAAGTGATTTTAAATGCTGAGCCATTTCTCCAGCTCCCATGAATCTTAATCTACCTATCTATAGTTTTGGCAGAATTTGGGGAACCAAAAATTGTCAGTTTGTCTCCCCATTTTCCTTAGTGGTGTTAAAAGAGAAAAAAAAAGTGAAAACAAAGTTCAAGAAAATAAGCACTTGAGTTTACTGCCCAGGACTAGGAAATTAGTATTGTTCCTGGTGCCAGGGGGAAGGGGATATTGACTGTGGTTTATTTGTGCTCCCAGCATGACATTTCCTTCAGAAGTTTTCATTCCTAGCTCCCCTTACACAGGACTTCTCTTTGGAAGGATAGATATGAATGATACTAAACTAGAGACTAAGGCAAATATATCTTGTTTCACAGTGCATATAAACTCTTGATATTTTATTTATACTATTTTCTTTTTTCTTTCTTTCTTTTATTTTTCAGGCAGGGTTTCTCTGTAGCTTTGGAGCCTGTTCTGGGACTCACTCTCAGTAGACTAGGCTGGCCTCGAACTCACAGAGGTCCGTCTGTGTCTGCCTCCCAAGTACTGGGATTAAAGGCCACCACTGTAACATGAGGGTCCGCTTTTTGGGGGGTTTCTGTCCTCCCTCCAGTTCCCACAGCTGTTTAGTCCCAAAGAAAATCACACAGAGGTCACCATAAGTTATAAACTGACTGGCCCATTAGCTCAAGCTTCATATTAGCTCTTATAACTTATATTATTAGCCCATTATTCTAGTATATGTATCCTCACGGCTCCGTACCTTTTTCAGTGGGGCAGGTCACATCTTGCTTCTGCTGTGTCTGGACAGGACTGGGGTAAGAGCTTCCTTCTTCCCAGAATACTCCTGTTCTCATTGTTCCACCTCTATTTCCTGTCTGGTTGTCCTGCCTATACTTCCTGCCTGGCTACTGGCCAATCAGCGTTTATTTAAAACATAATTGACAGAATACAGAATTGTTCCACACCACACCACTACATGGTGTATATTATCCTTTTATTTCTTCTGGGGAGGATTGTTTATTTGTTTTCTGAGACAGAGTTTCTCTGTGTAGACCTGGCTGTCCTGGAATTTGTTCTGTAGACCAGGCTGGCCTCAAACATACAGAAATCTGCCTGTTTCTGCCTCCCTAGTGCTGGGATTCAAGGCGTGTGCTACCAGCATCTGGCACCCTATTTTTCTGTACATTGAAAAGTTGTATATGCATATTATTTATATGTAAATGGAATGATGAAATCAAAAGAACTGAATTATCTGACACCTAAAATAGTGGTATTTTCTGATGTGAACATTTGAAATGTTTCCTTAGTAATTTGGAAACATATAGCTCCCTGGTATTAATAGTAGTCCCCATCAATTGCAGTAATCTAAAAAAAAATCCCTCCCAACTAATTGAAAATTCAACTCACGAGTTCATCTAATTCTTCTTCCCAGGGCAATTCATGTATCCCTCCTAGGATCCTACTTGTTGCCTAGCTTCTCTGGAGCTGTAGATTGTAACCTGGTTATCCTTTGCTTAACATCTAGTATTTCACTTATGAGTAAGTACAGTGGGACCAGGATCTGTCACTGGTCCATGAACTAGAGCTTGTTGGAGCCCATTCCCTATGGTGGGCTGCTGTGTTCAACCTAGATTTTGGAGAATAGGGCTTGGTCCTGCCTTCGAGTTATACACCAGACTTTGTTGACTCCCCGTGGGAGGCCTTACTTACCCCTTGGGAGGAGTGGATGGGGGATAGGCTCAGGGGTAGGTGGGGGGAGGGGTTAGAGGAGGGTGGGACAGTGAACTGTGGTTGGAATGTGAAATGAAGTTAAAAAAAACTGTGTGTGCCAGTTACCTCATTTTTTTTGTCTTTATTGTTATTCTGTCTCTCCCCCCCCCCCCCCCCCCCCCCCGCCAACCCTGGAGCTGAGGACTGAACCCAGGGCCTTGCACTTGCCTAAATATTCTAAGAAAATTGGGAGCCTTGGAGGGGGTGGGAGAAGGGAGAGCGGTGGAGAGGAAGGGGGAGGAGAAAATGAAAAAATGGGATGGTCGAGATGGGGCAAGGACAGAGAGGGAGAGCAAGGAAGGAGATATTTGGATTGAGGGAACCATTATGGGGCTAGTGAGAATTCTGGCGCTAGGGAAATTCCCAGGAATCTACAAGGATGACCTAAGACACTAAGTAGTAGTGGAGAGGGTGCCCGAACTGTCCTTCCCCTGCAATCAGATTAGTGATTACTTTAATTTTCATTGTAGAGCCTTCATCTAGCAACTGATGGAAACAGATGCAGAGATCTACAGTCACTGGCTGAGTGTTGAAGGTGCCATGTTAGCCAAGCTCCAGTTGAAGAGAGGGAGGAGCAATAATATGAACAAAGGTGTCAAGACCATGATGGGGATACCTACAGGACAGCTCACCTGAGCTAATTGGACTCTGGCCTGACAGCAGGGGAACCAGCATAGGACCAAACTAGGCTCTGTGAATGTGGGTGACAGTTGTATGACTGGAGCAGACTGTGGGGTCACTGGCAGTAGGACCAGGATTTATCCCTACTGCTTGTTCTGACTTTTTGGGATACTATTCTCTTTGGAGGGATACTTTGCTCAGCCTAGATATAATGGGTGAGGGTTTTGCTCCTGCTCAAAGTGATGTGGTAGACATCACTATGGGAAGCCTTACCTGCTCTGAGGTGTGTGGATGGGGAGGTGGGATGGGGGGAAGGTAAAGGGAGCAGGAGGAGGGAAGGGAGTGGGAACTGCGATTGGTATGCAAAATGAGAAAAGATTGTTTTTTTTTTAAAAAAAAATAAGTAAGGGCCAGGCATTCGTGGTGCATGTCTTTAATCCCAGCACTCGGGAGGCAGAGGCAGGCGGATCTCTGTGAGTTCGATGCCAGCCTGGTCTACAAGAGCTAGTTCTGGGACAGGAACCAAAAAGCTACAGAGAAACCCTGTCTCAAAAAAAAAAAAAAAGAGTAATTAAAAAACACATTAAAAATAGGAGAAAAAAGAAAATTCAACTCACTTTACTATTTCTCCATTCTCTATACCCTCCAGGTTCACAGTTCAACTCTGCTCCCATGAATCTGATTGAGATTTCTACAGCCTGTGAGAAGGTAGAGAATTGGGCCTGGGCAGGCCTAGCTATTGTCACGCCATACATATTCCATATATGCTGTTGCAAATGAAAGAATTCACTTTCTTGGGTGTGGCAGGGTAAGTGTGGGAGGAGGCATGTTTTAATATAGGCACATGTGCACTGCCTGCTTTTGGATGGTGGCTTCCTCCAATTGAAACACTCTGTCCAGGAGGGATCAGGAAGTCTTGTGAACAGACAGATGTCTGCAAGAACAGAGAACTGGAATATTTTTGAGGGCCTCACTAGCAGTATAAGGAGTAAACAGCTGCTGGGTTTGGAGACCAGGAAACCTAGCTTCAGAGAGAAGAGATTCTCAGACTGTCAAGTAACCCTTTGTGAACATCGCCCGTGATGAGAAGGGCTTTGGTGATGTGGCTGCTTTTGAGGTAGCCCTGCTTGCTGTAAAGTGAGCCCCATACTTCTGTTAGTAACTCCAGTGAAAAGTCACTGCTTCAGCAAGTCAGACTTCGGTACAGTTGTTACTTTAGACTGTTGCAGGCTCCCTTTCTGAGGTCAGTAGATGTGTGTCTTGTTGGTTGTCTCCCCAGCAAACATCTGGCTGGAGGGTAATTTTCCACATCATTCTTCAGGCCATATATACAATTTTATTCTTTTTTTTTAAAATTTTTAAAAATTTATTCAGAGATTCAAAGTTCTGTACAATTTAATTGATCTCTATTTCTCCGTTCTTATCTCAAATATCTATCACCATTGATATCTAGTAGGACTACCGTCATTTTAATTAATTTAATATCTAAAATTTTTATCTTGAAACTTATGAAAATGCACTTTCAATATCAATGCTTACCACTATCTTTACTGTAATGGTTTAGATAAAAAGCTGTGCAGTTTTCTGAAGGGCAGCAGCAGGCAGAGGGCCACGAGGGGCGGGATCCTACCACCAGAGGCCTCTGTACATCCAAAGGGGGCAGGTGGGAGGTGGTGGATAAGAGACCTCAGCGGGTCAGTGTGGCAGCCAGTCACACAAGGAGACAAGGCAGGTGAGGGATAAATATGCCATGCAGAGAGAGGGGTTGGGTATAGTTTATTCAGTGGGTTATGGAAGGAAAATGTAGGGGGACAGAGGGAGAGAGAAAGAAAGAAAGAAAGAAAGAAAGAAAGAAAGAAAGAAAGAAAGAAAGAAAGAAAGAAAGAAAGAAAGGAAGAAAGAGAGAAGAAGAAGGAGGAAGAGCAGAGAGAGGAGGCTGCACACAGGGCAGAGAGAGTATGTAATGATTATTAAAAATTGCTGCGGAACCCCGAGTAGCTTGCTTCAGGATCCCCCTCAGGCAGGGGGCAGCAGGTCCCAAGAACAGCCAGTCTCAGAGAGACCACAGTAGGTCTCCGAAGGTAGCTACAATTTTATTCTTTAGCTAGGGTCTCTCCTTGGCCTGGGACCTCTCATGTAGGTGTGAGGCCTAGGGATCAGCCTGTCTCTATTTCCCTAGCCCTGTGACAACATTTTAAAAATAGATTCCTTTGTTTTATTTTATGTGTATGAATATTCTGCTCACATGTATGTCTGTGCACTGTGTGCATGCCTGGAGATCAGGAAGGAGGGTTTCAGTCCCCTGGAAAAAAAAAAAAACTGGAGTTATGGACAGTTGTGAGCCACCATGCAGGTGCTGAACAAGTGCTCTTAACTGCTGAACCATCTCTCCAGCCCCATGGGCAGCATTGTGTGTGTGTGTGTGTGTGTGTGTGTGTGTGTCCACTCTAGAGTTAGTAGGACCTGGGAGAATAGACCAATAAATGAAGCAGACTAAAGTCTCATGCAGTAGCCAGCTTTATTAAACAAAGCATCAGACAATTTATACACGGAGGATAAGAAGAATCGCATGAGTCAAGGTCCCACGAGCTCAAGCTGTATACAATCACAAGAACAAGCCACACATGGCAAAAACATGTTTTTCCGTAGCGGCATATCAAGAATAGTTTAAACATTTAGTTGAATAACAGCAGCAAGCAAGAATAATCTGAAGTAAATGCACTCCTATCTGTCAGCCTGGGAGGAGCATGAAAACACATTCCAGGAGCAATTCCATGTTTTGAAGGAACTCGGGTCACAAGACTCTTGTTTTCTTGGAGTGTTCTCATAACTACTCAGAAATCTCCTCACACTCCTGGACTGTGTTCAGGCTGTACGTGTGTGTGTATGAACTTGTATGTGGGTGTACACACATTCACATATATATGTACCGTATGGTGGTCAGAGATTGATTTTGGGTATCTTCAATGTCATATTTTTTGACACAGAATCACACACTGAATGAGGACCCATGATTCACTTAGTCTGGCTGGTCAGCACTTGCTGAGGCTTCTGTTTCCCTACCTGCCCAGGGGTAGGATTCCAAGTTACCCCTCCAGGAGTTTTTATGTGAATTTGGGAGGTTGAATTCAGATCATAATGCTTAGGGGATGAGCACTTTACAGATGGAGACTTCTCCATAGACCCCTGACCCAGTATTTTGTACTTGGGTCCTGAGGATGGCATTAAGGTCCTTGTTCTTGCATGGCAAGTATTTTATAGATTTTTATCACTTCAGCAACTGAGCTATCACCCAGTCTCAGAATTTACTTCTTTTTGAAGGCTATCGAGTGTTTAATTGTGTGTATATATATGCAATTTTTTAGCCACCCTTCAGTTGACGAATGATTAATTTTGCCATTTTGGTAATGCTTAATTCATTCAGTGTTGGCATGTATCTCTTCCTTCCAGTTACCAATTTCTTATCATTTTCATATGAAAAATTTCTGACTGGCGACATCACTCAGTGGTAGAACTCCTCCTGCCTGACATGTGCCTGGATCTGTATTCTATTCATAAGACCCATAATGTAAGTAGAATTAATATGTATATAATGTTGAAATCTTTTCCCTTTTTGAGTTTTCAAATGTTGTAATTACTGCCCATCCTGCTTCCTCTGTGTTTGGCTGATGACTCAACCTTTCTTCTCCCCAGAGTTCTCTCTCCACCTATACCTCCTGCCTAGCTATTGGCCATCCAGCTTTTTATTACACCAATCACAGAAATACATATTCACACGGTGTACAAATATCCCACGACATTTTTGATTTTTTTTCTCTCTCAAGCTGTTCAGCTGCCACATCTTCGGCTATTCAGAAGAATTTTGATTTGATAGAACTCCATATATTAGTGTTCTCATTCATTCCTTTTGGAGTAAGGTCAAAAACTCATTACAAAGACCAGTGGTCTATAATTTTTTTATTTTTATATCTCGAATTTTTACATTGCAGATCTCATATAACAAAGTATATTTGTTCATGTTGTTCATTGTCGTATGTAGTGATGTATGCATTGTACTACTAAGGTGGTCTTCCTAAATTAAATTAAGAAAAGGTGGTTTTCAATTTCTTTTTTTAAGGTTTATTTACTATGTATACAGTGGTCTGCCTGCATGCCAGAAGAGGGCACCATATCTCACTATGGATGGTTGTGAGCCACCATGTAGTTGCTGAGAATTGAACTCATGACCTTTGGAAGAACAGGTAATGCACTTAACCTCTGAGCCATATCTCCAGTCCCGCCATTATGGATTTCTTTGGTGGTTTGTACACAAAGCGAATAACACAAAATACTTGTTTTCATCCCCTATGAATTTTTCTTTACAGTAGAACTTACAGTTGTACTCAATCCATCATCAAGGAAAAAGGGCATTGACTATTTTCTGGTAATAAACTATATGTGAAGTAAGTATCAGAAGGACATACTAATGGGCAGAGAAAGCATAGCAGGAATCAATATTTAGAAAACAATGTAGGTAGTTTTGTTTTCACCCTTGGTAATGATCTCCCCTACCACAGAAGACATTGTCGCTGTAAAAGCACATCAGAAATATTGCTATGGCCAACCTTCATTTAAAGCCACCTTTTAGAGACTGGTCTTAATAGTCTTCTGGAAAATGGCAGATAATTACATCTGCCTTTTACATCCAGTTGCCAGCCTGTAAATGGGCAGAAAATATTGTCAGGAGTTTCATTAAGCTGCCTTCCTTTCATGCTGCCTTCCAGATCATTGTCCAGGCAAGTTACACAACAAAGGCAAGTCTAGATCCAGCAGATGCACAACAAATAAAAGCAAAGAAATCCACTGAATCCGACATAGTGGTACAGTGGAGTAATCCAAACTCTCGGAAGGAGCAGGTCCCCATGGGCTGCTAAAAAATGACCAGTTCAGTGAGGAGTGATAATGTGCAAAATTTAAAATAGAATAAATGAGACAGCATAAAAAGAGAAAAGCCAGGGAGTCACCAAAACAATAAAACTATAGCAATTCCAAAGGGCTGTTGTGGCATATGCCTGTTACTTCAGCCCTCTGATACCTGCTTTGAGTTCAGCCCTAGGCTACAGCGTGAATTCCAGGGTTGTTAGAGCTCCACAGTGAGCTACTCTGTAGCACATATTCTCCTCCCAGTTCACATGCTTGCTTAGTGACAGATTGGCCACTCACTCAGTTCCAGAATCTGTCTGTGCTCATTAGGTATGCACTGAAAATCTGGTAGTAACCCAAACTTTGGGGATCAAACTGGCTAGAGATTAGAGTAGGCTGGGATCCAGGTAGTGCGCTTCCTGGCACTTCCTGCGTGCTCTTGGAAGCATGCAGAGCCCTCACTTAAGCAGATACAGATAGAAATATTATGAGGGTTCCCTGGCCAGCCAGTTGAGCCTAATTGACAAACTCCTGACCAATGAAACATTCTGTTTCAAAGGATGTGGACAGCCTTCTTGAGGATAGCACTGGGGTTCGCTTGTGTCCTCAGACACTGGTAAACCTGTTCACCCCCATGCACATGAACACCACCAACCTCCAGGCATGAAATTACAGCACCTACTTCTGATGGATCATGAGGACCTATAACCCAAGCTCTAGAGGATCAAATACACACACACTCTCAAAAAAAAAAAAAAAACCAAAAAGTCCTGTTAAAATGTTTTCTTGTTTATTTTTATGTCTTTGGGTAGTTTGCCTGCATACCAACTTTTACACAGTGCCCTTTGTAGCCAGAAGAAGGTGCCTGATACGTGGGAGCCTGAATTACAGGATGCGTGAGCAACCAGAAGTAGTGCTGGGAATCAAACCCATGTCCTCTGGAAGAGCAGCCAGTGCTCTTAACTACTGAACCATCTCTTCAGCCTCACCATTGTTTTTTAAAAGTAAGTTATTGAGTATTATCCTGGGTATAGTGACTAGTGAGCTTAGGATGACACTAAGAGATGTTATTATCAGTGGGTTAGACTCATCCCGGTAAGCCACCACCTCATGGTGAACACAAACTAATAGAAATGGGTTAGATCAAGATGTGAGAGTTAGCCAATAAGAGGCTAGATATAATGGGCCAGGCAGTAATTTAATTAATACAATTTCTGTGTGGTTATTTCTGGGGTTAAGCTAGCCAGGTGGTGGGACGCGGCCCACGCCTCCTCACAACAGATCTCCATGAGTTTGAGGCGAGCCTGGTCTACAAGACCTAGTTCCAGGACAGCCAGAGCTGTCACACAGAGACAAACAAACAAAACAAAACAAAAGCAAACAAACAAACAAAAAGAGATGTTAAGTAAACCAGTTTGACCTAAGTGAACGTTAATGTCTAACCAAAGCCCCTGACTATAATGCTTTGGTTTTAGTCAGAATGCTTGATAAGTATTGGATCCCCTATTTTTGGGTTCTTCCACTGAAGTAATAAGCCAAATCAAACTGAATTAATAAATCTGGATTTAATAAACAGCAAAGCAAAGCAGAGCACTCCCCGGTGACTCTCAGGAAGGCAGGAGGAGAACACATGACAGATCTATGGGCGGGGTCTTAAATATCCTGTGGACTGTCATAAGCAGGTCCAGGGGAGGAGCTGCAGATAACAGGCTTTCTCAGGGGCGGGGTTTGGAATGGGAGAGTGGGATTGGGTGGGGCTTTCCAACAACACTCTGCTTCATTAACAGAATTTAAAAATTACTTATTAGTGTGTATATGTGTGCATGTGCACACATGCAAGAGTGCATACTTGTGAACATGAATGAATGAATATTCATAATTCGTTTGTTGCCACATGTGGTAGTCAGAAGGCACCTTTGTGGGCTCAGTCCTACCTTTAAAAGTTACTTGGGCCTGGAAAAATGGCTCAGCAGTTAAGAGTACTTACTGTACTTACGGAGGACCTGAGTTCAATTCTTAGCATATGAATGGTGGCTTGTAACCATCTGTAATTCCAGTTCCAGAGAATCTGATGCTCTATTCTGGCATCTGTGGGCACTGGGAATGCAAGTGGTTACAAACATATATTCAAATTTAATGTGTGTGGGCATTTTGTCTGCATGTATATTTGTACACTGTGTGAATGCCTGAGAAGCCAGAAGAGGACATTGGATCCCCTGGGATTGGAATTAGAACTGTTTGTGAGTCACCATGTGGGTACCTGGGTCATCTCCAAGAGCGGCCAGTGCACAGAATTCTCGGCCATGTCTCTAGCTCTCTTCTTTCTGTAGATATGGGACTAGGCTATTTTGCAGGCCATTAGTGGAAATCTTTTTTTTTTTTTAATGAAAACTGAGTTCATTTAGTGTTGTATCCAAAATTGGGGAGCAAAAATTTCTCAGTATTTCTTGACCTTGCCAATATCACTGTTACAACTCATAGAAGAGATTATATGCATATTTAGTTGTAGACTAGGAGGGAGGGAGGCAGGGAGACACAGAATACGAACTTCTAGCAACCTGGGAAGTCAACCTTTTTCCATAGGACTTCTGCTCAGGTAAAGGCAGGCAGTTCCTTGATTATGACATAGAAATAATTTCATGACAAGCCAAAGTGAAGCAAAGTTAGTGAGCTTATTTAGTAAGTGTGTAGATAGGAAATCATGGGGGAAAGACAGTGTATAGTCCTGAGGCATGTGTATGGGCTTCTCAAGAGAAAAGGCCATTATGGGTCTTTAAAATGGCTGTCTTTGTTTGTTTGTTCTTGCTATTTATACGCCTTTACTCCTTAGCAAATGAGCCCAACATAAAGCCTTCATGGTGGCATACACAATAAATGTCATTTTGAAACCTTTGAAAATAGTTACCCCTTTCCACCACCATGTGGGTACTAGGGATTGAACTCAGGACCTCTCGAAAATCAGCAAGTGCTTTTAACCACTGACTCATCTCTCCAGCCTCTTCTTTACCTTTTCATGTCCCCATAATTTTCCATGGCTTTTTATCCTGCCTCAGACACAAGTTACCAAACAGGTCTTTCTCCTGGTGCCAAGCAGGAAGATTCTTGCCATGAATCATTTCCCTGACAGTCTGGCATTTCTTGGGGCTCCTTCCTAAAGGACATCTGGATTGCTAGGCATATTGCCAGTGGTCAGATCTGTGTGAATTTAGCTCAGAGACAAAGATGGATTTTGTTGCATACTACATAGAAAACTTTTCATTTACTTTTATTTGTATCTTCATGTTAATGAGGTTCAATGTGAAGTTATATTACACTTATACAATGTGGAATTGTCAATGTAGGCAGTGAGATTCATCTCAGATACCTGGTTTTGCTAATAAAAACTATTTCATAATGAGCTTTAATGAAGCATTTTAGGGAGCTTATGAAGTAGGGATAGTAAGTAGCACACACTGCAAATTTAATGCAGGCATTAAGGGGGTGGTATACACATAAGATATGATTCTGAGCATCTCACGAGGTAGAGGTATACTAAATTTTATTAGCATGTATTATAAGAACAGTGATTTTCATACATAATACACAACCTATTTTGATATTACCACCCATTACCCTCTCTTGTCTCCTTCCTCTCTTCCTCTTACCACTAGATATACATATGTTTTTTATGTCTTTTAAACTGCTCAGAGGATATAATTTATAGTGGGTTAAAGGTTTAAGCAATATTTAAAAGTTAAGATTAAAATTAAATAAAATATGAACTGGTTTGCTTATTTTACTTAATTTCCTTCTTTTTTTAAGATTTATTTATTAATTATGTCTACAGAGGGCACCAGATCTTATTACAGGTGGCTGTGAGCCACCATGTGGTTGCTGGGAATTGAACTCGGGACCTCTAGAAGAATAGCCAGTGCTCTTAACCTCTGCGCCATCTCTCCGGCCCTTAATTTCCTTTTCTAAATGTAACCATTAAGGTGTTTTATCAGTTCTATTGTTCAGGATTCACATGGACAGGGGCTAATATAGTTAAATTCAAGATCACACATATTAAGGGTTTGCGTAAACAGTTCATTTGTTGTTTTTATCAACCTTGCGTGAGATGTCTTTGGGAGAGGAGGCATTGTTTTTGCAGGTAGCTTGAATTTCCTGTTGTGCTGAAGTTTCTTACTCTCATATTCTAGGGGTGAGGTTCTTCTTTCCTGGTTAGGTATCACCATACTTTTCCCTGTGGTTTTAAACTTGTCTCAGAATGATTCAGTCAAATTAATGTAACCATTGCCTGGCAAACTTAGCTCATCTGATATGATCATTAGAAATATACTCATAGGGGGCTGGGGAGATGGCTCAGAGGTTAAGAGCACTGATTGCTCTTCCAGAGGTCCTGAGTTCAAGTCCCAGCAACCACGTGGTGGCTCACAGCCATCTATAATGAGATCTGGTGTCCTCTTCTGGCATACAAACATACATGGAAGGAATGTTGTATACATAATAAATAAATAAATAAATCTTAAAAAAAAGAAATATACTCATAGTAATTGACAAAGTCCAATGCCATCTTATTCCCATAGTAACCATGCTGATGAGAGACCTCAAAAATTAGTCCCCTAGGGCTGCAGAGATAGCTCAGCAGTTGAGAGAGCTGGTTGTTCTTGCAGAGGACTCAGGTTCAATTTCCACCAACCACAAGGCAGCTCACAACTGTCTGCAATTCTAGTCCCAGGGAATCTAATGCCTTCTTCTGGCCTTTGCAGGTGCCAGGTGCACATGAGGTGCACAGATGTACAGGCAGTCAAACATCCATACACAGAATTATTAAATGAAAATGATTTACAAAAACTATTCCTCCTATCTAATTGAAACTTCCATATTTGACCACCATCTCTCCACTCAGCCCACCTTCCAATTTCCTGTCACCACCACTTTATTTTCTGTCTTGTGACTGTGATGGATTTAGATTACACAAAGGTGAGAACACACAGTATCTGCATTTCTCTAAAAGCCTGCCTGGTTTCACCTCCCATAGGAGGTATATATAAATGTTGTACCTTGTGTCAACTCCTTTACCTTTGAAACAGAGTCCTACTATGTAGTCCTGAATGACCTGGAATTGTCTATGGAGAGCAGGTTTGTCTCTAATTCACAGATATCCTTCTGCCTCTGCCTCCCAGGTGCTGGGATTAAAGCCCTGCACAACCACACCCAGCTCTGTTTCAACTCTAGAAGGACAGGCTCTGAGTCCAAAACAAGTAGAAGTTTTTACACCACTGTGTTTTAGACTTATTATGAAGCAATAGGAAAACCAAAACATAGGAGGCTGAATTAATAAAAAAAAAAAGTGGACTAAAATTAACAAGGTGGCAAGTGGTTTGTATAGATAGACTAGTAGAGAAGGTTTTTATTTTTGCTGCTGCCGAGTGGCCTTTTTACATCCACAGACTACAGAATGAGCAGAAGTGGACAGTTGTGGAACTATTGGAAGGGGAAGTTATCCAGTATATTCACTTTGGGTAATCACACCTGCTTTTTTGACACAATCCTGAAGCTTTTTTTCATTTCCTTAACTGAATATGTGGGTTAAGATCAGAGATTTGTGGAGTCTGTCTAAGTAAAAATAAAGTAATATTAACACTGGTAAACCATTCTTTGTATAATAAGATATACTATTGTAGAACAAAGAGCAAGCCTTTGAGGAAGTCCTAATGTTTGAACGTCGGGGTTGGGGCTGGTGACACAGGAGGTCTTTACTGCCTTTAAACTACCACCAAAACATAAACAAGAAGTGAAAAGAGTGTATTTAACAACCACCAAAATGTTATTAGGAAATAAATCAAAAGTAAATGTGTAAGCACTGTTTTGTCATCTACAACTCCTAATTTAGCTGTTATCATTTATTATTTACTCCAACAGCCTATTCCATGAGAAGATAATATTGTCAATTTAATGAATTATAATTTCTAGTTCAGTATATTGTTTCTCTTTTCATTATCCAGTTGGAGGTATGCATTGCTATTACGTCCATACTCCAGAAGAGAAAACAATGGAATAACATCCTTCAGTGTTTTTTTTTTTCTCAAGATGTCAAGGTTTTGATAAAAAACAAATGAGTGGAGAGTCCAACCTAGAAACTGTGGTTTCAAAAAGGCCCTGTGCTTCAGGCATACAGGAAGAATTAGGTATGAGATACAAAATTGGGGAACAGAGAGTAGAAAGTGACAGATTCAAGATGAACACATCAGAAATAGCACATTCCAAGTCAGGATTGGTCCAATAGCTAAAATGAATCACAATCAATTGTTCATATAAGAAAATTAATTATTGCTGGGCTGTGGTGGTGCACATCTTTCATCCCAGCATTCTGGAGGCAGAGGCAGGCGGAGCTCTGAGTTTGAGACCAACCTGGTCTATAAGAACTAGTTCTAGAATATGTTTCAAAGCTACAGATAAATGCTGTTGAAAAACCAAAAACAAACAAAAAAGAAAATTTATTTTCTGGTAGGAGAGATTGTAATGATCTGTTTTGTCTCTTTAACAGACAAGCCATGCCCACTCCTCCTCCACTGAGGCAGGCAGATCTTCCTGCTTGCAGCCTGAGTCTCTTCCTTTTTCTGTCTCCCTCTCTAAGAAGCAGCTTCCTTCCATCTCTCCCTACTCTCTCTCTCCTTCTGTCTCCCTTTTCTCTCTTAGTCTCTCTCTCTCTTCTTCTTCTTCTTCTTCTTCTTCTTCTTCTTCTTCTTCTTCTTCTTCTTCTTCTTCTTCTTCTTCTTCTTCTTCTTCTTCTTCTTCTTCTTCTTCTTCTTCTTCTTCTTCTTCTTCTTCTTCTTCTTCTTCTTCTTCTTCTTCTTCTTCTTCTTCTTCTCTCTGCTCTTCTCCCCTTCCCCCTCCATAACCCACTAATAAATATCTAACCTCACTCTGCATGGTGTGCCTAGCCATGTCTCTGTCTTTCACCTGCCACCAGTGGCTCCCTGCCCGAGACGCCTTGGGAGACCTGCAGTGTAGTCTCATGGCGTGCCCATCTGTCTGTCTCTACTCTGGGACCTGCGCAGTCCCTTCCTGGGACTGGCTGCTCTCGGGACTGCTGCCTGCCGCCACTTGGGGACCTGCAGCGTTTCTGCAGCTGCAGCCGCTGGGGATCCTGCAGCATTTTTTTTTATTTAATCAATTTCAGAGATGGCTTAGCATTTGAGAGCACTGGCTGTTCTTCCAGAGGTCCTGAGTTCAATTTCCATTAGCTTAACCACATGGTGATTCACAACCATCCATAATGAGATCTTGCGCCCCCTTCTGGCCTGCAGGCAGAACACTGTATATACAATAAAAAACGAATGGCTATCACAAACAATGCTGCTATGAACATAGTTGAGCATATACTTTTGTTGTATGATAGGGCATCTCTTGGGTATATTCCCAAGAGTGGTATTGCTGGGTCCAGGGGTAGGTTGATCCCAAATTTCCTGAGAAACCGCCACACTGCTTTCCAAAGTGGTTGCACAATTGTACCCCTTTCTCCACAACCTCTCCAGCAAAGGCTATCATTGGTGTTTTTTATTTTAGCCATTCTGACAGGTGTTAGATGGTATCTTAAAGGTGTCTTGATTTGCATTTCCCTGATAGCTAAGGAAGTTGAGCATGACCTTAAGTGTCTTTTGGCCATTTGAACTTCTTCTGTTGAGAATTCTCTGTTCAGCTCAGTGCTCCATTTTATAATTGGGTTGATTAGCCTTTTACGGTCTAGTTTCTTGAGTTCTTTATATATTTTGGAGATCAGACCTTTGTCAGTTGCGGGGTTAGTGAAGATCTTCTCCCAGTCAGTGGGTTGCCTTTCTGTCTTAGCGACAGTGTCCTTTGCTTTACAGAAGCTTCTCAGTCTCAGGAGGTGCCATTTATTCAATGATGCCCTTAATGTCTGTGCTGCTGAGGTTATACGTAGGAAGTGGTCTCCTGTGCCCATGTGTTGTAGAGTACTTCCCACTTTCTCTTCTATCAGGTTCAGTGTGTTCGGACTGATATTGAGGTCTTTAATCCATTTGGACTTGAGTTTTGTGTGTGAGGACTACTGAGAACTCAAGAACAATGGCAATGGGTTTTTGATCCTACTGCACATACTGGCTTTGTGGGAGCCTAGGCAGTTTGGATGCTCACCTTACTAGACCTGGATGGATGTGGGTGGTCCTTGGACTTCCCACAGGGCAGGGAACCCTGATTGCTCTTTTGGCTGACTAGGGAGGGGGACTTGATTGGGGGAGGAGGAGGGAAATGGGAGGCGGTGGCGGGGAAGAGACAGAAATCTTTAATAAATAAATAAATTAATAAATAAAAAAAGAAAAAAAAAACGAATGAACGAACGAATGAATCTTTTAAAAAAGAGAGGAAATTCTCACATCAGAATGCTTGATAAGCTTCTAAATCAACCTAGAACACAAATTTAGGGCTGGGCGGGCAGGTTCAGAAGATTTAAAGGGGGCAGGCCCAGCATTTTGTTTTAGCAGAAAAGATGCTTGGGTGTAAGAAGGAGTTGGCTCGCTAGTGCTCAGGAACTCCCAGAAGTCAAACCCTGGCTAGAGTTTAGAGCTGGCTGGAGAAGGGGGAGGTGTGGTTCCTTCATGCTGTGTCTGAAGCATACTTGGAATTAGTGGCGAACTTGTCTTAAGCCTTCCTGGGCGGGCGGGAACAGTATCTGGGTGGCCAATGCCACCGCTACTGCGGCATAGCGAGGGGAAGCAAATGGAGGAGGGACCAGGAGAGGAGCGGGAATCTAACTCGGCGACCATTGATGACGTTTCCTCAGACCGCATCGCTGTTTCTGGTGCTTGGATACCGAGCATCTTGGAGTTGTTTTAGTAGGAGGATAGCGGCGAATTTGCAAGGAACTTGAGTTTCTGGGGGATGTTGTTGCAGGCCGGAATCCGGATCCCGGTAGGATGAATTTCACGCCGTGTGCTAGGCCTTTCGTTTGAGATTCCAACTACTGGCCAGAAGTTTCTTCTTAGAGCCAAACCTGTTCTGAGTACCAGTTTTTGTGGCTCTTGATACTTGCTCTTTACGACCTGCTAGTTCCATCCCATTTGGCGCTCAGGCACTGACAAAGCTTAGAGGGTGATCCGTCTTCTGTTAGAAAAACCTATAGTAGACACCAAGCTGCTCTGGGAATGGGTCTGAGTGGTGCTTTAAGATACTTTGAGAGGGCTTAGGGAGTTGGCTTCTTGTAAAAATAATAGGCCTTCACAGTGAGAAAAGCCCACCTAGAGATTAATAAAGGAAAAGCCTGGCCAGCTATTGGTAATGCCCAAAGAAGAGCAGGCCCCCAATAAAAGACTTTACTAGCTTTCCTACGCCTTGGGTGTATTCACTTTATATTCTCTGTAGTCTTTTAATTTCTTTTATGTCCAGCACCCAGTTTACACCTCGAACCGTTTAACAGGTAGGAGACTGCCAGGATTGTTTGAAAGTATGCCTGTTCTGTTCTTTTTGAATACTTGTTACCCAGGTTCATCTTGCCCACCTGTCTGAATTATGATTTTCCTGACAGGAGCTGAGGGCACCTATTGCAGCCCAGGACTTAATGGTGTTTGTGACCCTGCATGGCCCCCTCAAGATGCCTGTTGGAGACTTGTTCTTTGGGGGCAGACCTAATGTCTGGTGAGTCCTGGCGAGCAGTAATGTACATCCTAGCATGGTAACTGCTTATCTCAAACAGGCGTGGCTAGCACACTGTATCTTTGTGGTGCTATGAAGGCAGCATTCCCTTAGCTAAGTTCTACTTTGTGTGACTTAATGTCTCCTAAGCAAATCTATTAATAGGTCCTTTATGACATTAATTCTGTCACTTTGAAAGTCTTCTGCGTCAGTCTTGGGATATGAATTGTTGTTGTGCAAACATGAGGACCTGTGTTCAAATCCCTAGCCCCCACATAATAGCTAGAAGTGCCATTACAGACAGGGAGATCCATGGGACTTGTTGCCCGCCAGCCTAGCAACAGGTTCAGTGAGACACTCCAGTTCAAGAGAATAATGTCCAGAGTGGAGAGCAGGATAGCCTAAATCCTCCTCTGGCCTCCATGTGCACGTGCCCTCTTCCACACACATACCCACAGTTGAAGAGGAAGGTTTTGAAGATAAGCCCCATTGTGTGGTATGCTGATGTAGGGGGATTCCCAAGAGTGGAAGGTCATCCTTTGCTAGATAGTGAGTACTGACCAGGGCTCCATAGCAAAACCCTGGCTCAGTCTCTCTCTGTCTCTGTCTCTCTGTCTCTGTCTCTCTGTCTCTGTCTCTCTCTCTCTCTCTCTCTCTCTCACACACACACACACACACACACACACACACACACGGAGATGGAAGGAAAGAAAGACCAAGGGAAAGATGGAGGAAACACTGGAGACTAAAATGCTATCGTTTTTCTTCCTGGTGATATCTCTGGGTACCATTTGTTGGAGGACTAAATATTATGTAAGACCCAAAGTAGTTAATTGGTGGTCAGATCGTTTTCCTGTGCAACAGAAATACCCTCTTGGAGAATGAGTCTTAACCTGGCAAGCGCTCCATTTTCCCACGGAGCCTGTAATTTCACATGGAGACATTGATGCAGGGCTCAGCACCTCACAGGCCGGAATATGTGGAATACTTCTGTGCTAATTATTGGGTGTTGGAAACTGACTTCACAGCAGGGAACTGTGTACCCACCAAGCAAGCAGTCTTCTAGTGATTTGGAGTCCCCGAAACCTGCTGCTGTTAGCCAGAGAAGCAACAGGATAGCAGACAATCTCAAACTTCCCTGTGTCTGAATCATCTGGATGACTTATTAAAATACAGGTTGGAGTTCTCAGAAAAAGGCTGCACGTATGTTAAAGATTCTGGAAGGTTCATTGGATAGAACTTCTGTGCTTTCTGGAGAGCGGGAGTAGTGCAGATCTGGAGCCAAATTATCCCAGGCTATTTTAGCCTTTTATACTTTGTTTGTTTTGGATTTGGTTTTCTTCAAAACAGGGTTTCTCTGTGTAGTCCTCACTGTTCTGGAACTCTCTCTGTAGACCAGGCTGGCTTTAAACTCATGGAGATCTGCCCACCTCTGCCTGCCAAGTGCTGGGATTAAAGATGGGTATCACCACACCCTGCTTTTAGCCTCATTAATAGCTATTCATTGTCCATGTCTGTGCTTAGCCTAACAGCTTTGTGACGTTTAGGTAAAAATCCTTTTAGGCTTTCCTAACAGACCACTTGTGATGGATTTGCTGTGGGTCCCCACAAACCAAGGTGGCTGGTCACCTGGGCGTCCCTGGTGGCTAGCCATGTGGGCGGTGGGTGGGCAAGGGCCAGACAGATATGCACACCATGCAGATGGGTTTGCTGCAAGCTTCCCGGGGTCCCAAGCAGGGACAGCGCAGGAGACCACATGGCAGGCTCCATGTGACTGCAGAAGGCGGGCTAGAGAGACAGATAAACATACCATACAGAATAAAGTTAGACATTTATTGGATGGGTTATGGAGGGGAAGGAAAAAGGGGGAAGGGGGAGAGAGAGAGAAAGAAAGAGGAGAAGAGGAGAGAGAGACAGGGGCGGGGGAAGCGGAGAAGTGGGAAGAGAGGCAAAAGCTGCCTCTTGAGACAGGGACAGGAAGAGAGGAGAGTGGGGCAGAGGCTGCTAGGAGGAAGGGAGTGGTCGTGGCTTGTCTCTTAAAGAGCCAGAATATTACACCACTAGCTCCCACCAGTTCAAAGCCTAATGATGTCATCACATAGCATTCAAAGCATATAATAGATTTCTCCACCTTGCTTTAGCCTGTCTATCTGAAAATTGCCTTGCTCTGTGACTTTCAGCTGTTTTATCATTATAACTTCATAACCTGTCGTCATGTTGGAACATGATATTCAGGGCAACCTGAGTCTATGCTCCTGGGTCATGGTCACTCAAACTTGGCTCCAGGACAAACTGTCTCTTACTCCCCTTGACACAAGTCTTGTAGTTTTGCCTTGACACTGGTTTCCATTCATAGAGTTCCTTTCTGCTGTCCTGTGCTAGGCCCTGAATTTAATGTGCAAATACCGTGGGGTAATATGTTGGTTTGTGGGCTATAACTAGAGCACTGGTGGTCTGAATAGAGAGGACATAAGAAAAACATTTTGTTTGTTTGTTTTTTGAGATAAGCTTTCTCTGTGTAACAGCTCTGACTGTCCTGTAACTCATTCTGTAGACCAGGCTGGCCCAAACTCCCAGAGATCTGCCTGTCTGTGCCTCCCTTGTGCTGGGATTAAGGCATGCACCACCACCACTCGGCTGACATAAGAACTAAACTAGAAGTCTGTGAATATAGCTCAGTTGATAGAGAACTTGTTTAATCTGCAGGAAGCCCTGAGTATTCCCATTGCCAGAACTGTGTTAACTGAGGGCACTCGGGAGATGAAGACAGGATGGGATTGCATGAGACCCTGTCTCAGAACAAAAATAAAAGTAGAGCCCCGGGCCATAAGAATTTGTTCTGAGACGAATGTATGCCCACATTAAGAAGTAAAGAAAGGAGCTGGAGAGAGATCTCAGCAGTTTTGAGCACTCGTTGCTCTCGAAGAGCACTAAGTAGGATTCCCAGCTCCCACATACTTCCGTACAGCCGCCTGTAACTCCAGTTCTGACCTTGGTGGGGACCAGGCATGCCCAGACAGGCTTTTTCACTCTAGCATGAAATTTCATGGACGGCTCTAATTCCTGGTGTGTTTTGCAAAATTGCAACTGTAAGAAAGGCTAACTCATGCTCAGTGGTCAGCTCTGAACTAAATCATGGGTATGAAATTAGGTTTTTATTTATTTGCTTAGCTGCTTTTATTAATTTTTATTTTTACATACTGAATAGAAAATATATTATAGATTTTAGTTGTGTTATTTTATCAATAAGCCACACATAGCTAGTGGTCGAAAGTGGCATTTGAATTTATGCATACAACTTTGAATAAGTCAAGATAATATGACAATCACCCAGAATACTGTTTTTGTAGTGGGAATATTTGTAATATACTGTTAGTAGTTTTGAAATGCATAGTATGTTGTTAAGCATAGTTTTCATGCTAAGCAATAGGTCTCAAAACTTACTCCTCCTATATCTGAATCTTCCCACATTCTTTTTCAACACAGGGTTCTCTGTGTAACAGTCCTAGCTGTCCTAGAACTAGCTCTTATAGACCAGGCTGGCCTCGAACTCTCAGAGATCCACTTGCTTCTGCCTCCTGAGTGCTGGGATTAAAAGTGTGTGCCACCACCTGGCTGTCTCCCTACATTTTGACTACCATCTTCATATTTTTATCACTCTTCAGTAAAAGATTTTGGTTTTTTCTTTGTTTGCTTGCTTTTATTATTATTATTTTTTTACAAATAAATGTCACCACCATCTTCATCTGTTTCCAAGAACATGGTAGTTTTTAGATTCCTTAAATATTATGCAAAATTTGCCACACTCTCTGCTTTCAAAGATACATGTGTGTGTATGTGTGTAAGAGAGAAGCAGAGACAAGGGATATATGCAGATGCCTACAGAGGTCAGAAGAGGTATTGGATCCCCTGGAGCTGGAGTTATATGTGGTTGTGAGCCATCTGCTGTGGGTGGTAGGAACTGAACTCTGGTCCTCTAAAGAGCAGCAGGTGCTACTAACTCCTGTGGCACCTCTGCCAACCCAGTATTCATTGCTCTTTAAACACCTGTTACATTTCATACGAGGTTTCATCTGCATTGCTGAAAGGGAGAGAACTTTTTATAAGGAGAAAAGTGTTTTATTCTGTAGATGTGCCCTGTTCTAGTATGAGCGGTGGGCCGCTTCCTGCCACCCGGCTAGCTTTACCTGAAATAATTACACAGAAACTGTATTCTTTTAAACACTGCCTGGCCCATTAGTTCCAGTCTCTTATTGGCTAGCTCTTACATCTCGATTAACCCATTTTTAATAATCTGTGTAGCCCACGAGGTACCAGGGAAGATCTTAACCTGCGACTGTCTGGAGTGGGAGAGTCATGGCGACTGACTGAATCTGCTTCTTTCTCCCAGCATTCTGTTCTGTTTACTCTGCCTACCTAATTTTCTGTCCTATCAAAGGACCAAGGCAGTCTCTTTATTTAACCAATGAAATCAACACAAAACAGAATACTCTCCCCCATCCGTGCCCTATTTGCTTTATCCATCTGTTAGTGGACACTAACATTGCCTAATGTGGTTATTGTCACTAATACAGCAATGGATATAGGCTGCATGTATCTCTTCCTTATACTGATTTCAAATTTGAGTGTACAAAAAGTGGGGCTGAGGAGCAGTTAGTGGTGGAACATTTACCTAACAGTGAAAGATCCTTGGTGTGATCCTTTGCACCCCCCAAAATTTAGGTTTGAAGCATTATAGGTTCTTCTGTTTTTAATTTCTAGGAAGTGCAATGTAGTTTTCCATAACGACACTACAAATTTACATCGTCACTAATAATACATGTTCCCCTTCTCCATATCTTTCCCAACACTCAACTTTTTGTGTGCTAATTTCTTTTATTTATTGTGTGCGTATATGTGTTTGTGTGTGTGTGTGTGTATGTATACTGTGTGCCATAGCAGCCATGTAGAGGTCAGAAGACGACTTGCAGGAGTTGGGGCTCTCTTTCCACTGGGGGGTCCTGAGGATTGAACTCAGGTTGTCAGGCTCAGTGGTAGATACCTTTACTCTCTGAGCCATCTCAGCAGCCCTTTTGTGCTATTGCTAAAACCCAGGGTCTTGGCATGCGGGCCAGGCAACTCCATCATTGTGCTGCAACTCCAGCCTCTCCTCTTTTTGATGCTAGCCATGCCAACACATGGATACAAACAAGCACAATCCTTCATTTGGGTATGTATTTACTATGATTGGAGAAATCACCCCACTTTCAACCATGTAAGCAAGCTCTTTGGCTCTCCTGTCGAGTCAGCTTGGGAGACAGTCTCCTGACCTGCTTCCCCTGGTGCTGTAACATTAGAGCTAATAAAAAGCTTTCCCTAAGGGGTTATTTGTATTCTGCTTAGAGTAACATGGTGTTATGGGTTATTTGTACACTGTGTGAAGATGTATTGCTGTGATTGGTATAATAAAAAGCTGAGTGTCTAATAGCTACGCAGGAGATATAGGTGGGACTTCTGGGCAGAGAAAGAGAGCTCTGGGAAGAAGAAAGGCAGATTCCCCAGCCAGACTTGGACATGCAGTATGGATGAGAGATATGAGCCATGTGGCAGAGTGTAGATTAGAAATATGGGTTTATTAAGTTATAAGAACTAGTTAGAAAAAAAAACTTGCCAAGCTTTCATAATTAGTAAGAAGTCTCCGTGTCATTATTTAGGAGCTGGTGGCCCAAGGAAAAATCCAACTCTGCACTGGTAACACGGAAGAAGCAGCAGAGTCGCAGCCTCGGGAACAGCTCGTCCAGAAGCTGGTGCTGTCAGAGTGGCAAGGCGGCCCGCCGCAAGGTACAAAAGTGGCAAGGCTGCCTCACAGCCAAAGGGTGGGCTGCTTAGACGTCTGAAAAGGCAGGAAAATGTGGGTTGTGGAAGTAGGAAGGGCGGGGAGCTGAGGCTGAAGAGAGGTAGAAGAACGCTGTAAAGATTCAGAGAAAAACCGAAGGCGCTGGTTGCTAGAAGAGTTCCAGCGAGCTGTCAAACCCCAGACACCCTAAGCCTCAAACTGGAACACCGGCCAGTGTCAAGGTCTGAGTCATGCTGATCCATAGGCCAGCTGAAAAGCTATAGTGCAAGTTGCTGCCCAGTGCTTTCCAGCTCTAAACAAAAGCAGTACCACTTGCAGAGCCGAGGGTCCTGTCCTGATAGCATGTGTCTTTAATATTAGTCACAGCAGTCCCTAGTTAGACCACCAGGGGGAGCGCTTCTCCCGGACAATGTGGTAATGATCCTGAGCCATTTAGATAGAGTGCACTGCAAGTCAAAAATTCTGGCGACTTTGCTTTATCTTCTTACATCTATATCTCTTTGGGACACTGGTTAATCAAAATCAGTTGAAATTATTACCACTGCTAATGCTGATTCACTTTTGTAGTTTTCTTACCTTTTTGTTTTGAGAGGCCTTGCTATTTGGATCAGGCTGGCCTGGAACTTTTTTATGTTCCCCTAGCTATTCCGGAATTCACGAACCTATTGCCTCAGCCTCATGAGTGCCGGACTGGCTGGACGTGTTACCACACCAGGCTGTAGTGAGCTCTGATTATGAGCACTCCTTCTGATGTTCATTTTTGATAAGCAGACATTGGTGACAGCAGTCCCTAGCTAGACCACCAGGGGGAGCGCTTCTCCCTGACAAGGTAGAAATGAACCTGAGCCATCGAAATAGAGTTCAGTGCAAATCAAAAATTCTCACGAACATTTAAAATGAAACAGATGCTGTTATTGTGGGGGACTCTTCCTTTCTTTATATTTTCAGGATCCCCAAGGAATCCAATGGCCAGGTGAGGAAGCAGGCATAGATGCTGTAAGAAGTCACAGAGTTCTATGACTCCTGGAACCAGAATTCATCTTGATTGGAAAATGAAAAAAAAAAAAAAAAGATCATCTTAATTGTTTTTGATGAATGACTGTGGATTGTGTGATAATTTTGACAAATATTACCTGATTCTCTGCCATTATGTTTTAGCATCCAATAATACTCTAAGCAAACTCAATCTTTCCTATTCTCAGTTAAGATGAAGTGAACTATTTCTACATAGTAGTTTTTCTATGTAACTGGAACAGAGAAGCAAAAAGTGCCATGCACAATTTTCTGTACACTATTTCAGTTCAATGACATATTTTCATTGGCTCAAGATTATTTTTTGCATATTCCCTTTAAAAGATCTCGTTTTCTACTTCTTTAAAAAAATAAAGCAAATGATTTGAGAAAAGTAAAAAAAAATTCTCACGAATTTGCTTTATCTCCTCACATAGACAATCTGTGGTAATAATCTGAACTGATTTTGGTAATTAACCAGTGCCACAGGAAGATATATATCAGTATCATGGGAAATTCTTCATATGTTTATTGGCTACATGTATGTATTCCTTTATTCAAGAATTGTCTGTTGAGAGCTATTCACTTGAAAACCGGGTCATTTGTTATCCTGCAACTGCGTTCTTTTTTTTTTTTTCACTCTTTTTTTCAGACAGGTTTTCTTTGTGTAACAGCCCTGGTGTCCTGGAACTCACAGAGACCCACCTGCCTCTGTCTCCCGAGTGCTGGAATTAAAGGCGTGCGCCACCACTGCCCTGTGCAACTGGGTTCTTTATAAATTTTCCGCACCGGCCTCTTAGGTGATGTGTGGCTTCCTCCTGACCCAGATGTTGTCTTTTTACCCTGCTTTGCTATGCTCTAGGGTTGTTCCTTTGCTGCGCTCCCATTTTTCTCTGCTACTTCTTGGTCAGCTTATTGGTTTTTTGGTTTTGTTTTTATTAAATCCTCCCCCTAAAATAATGTCATGCTTTTCTCCAACCATTTTAGGTCTCTTTTTTTCAGTTCCTGGTATTTATTTGACTGTACTAAAGTGGAATTGTTTGTGATGTCCTTGTGTATGCTTGGATGGTGGAACAAAGCTGGTCTTCTTAGATTAAACAGAGGACTTTTCCTTCAGGCTTGCCTGTACCAGACAAGTTTAAGATGAGCAATTTTCCATTTTCAATTAAAATCCCTTTCTGGGTTGTCATTTACAGCGGGACTCGTTCCCAGTTAAGTCATCAACAACATGAAATTTCTAATTTCGGATGAATTATGTAGGGAAATAAATTTGTGACAGACTAATTGACAGAAAGGTTAATTATAAAAAGGAAGAATGGAGAAGTGTGCTAGGCAGTGTTTTTCCTACCTACAGTAAACTCTCAGAAGATAGAATCATTTTTCTAACTCAGGGACACAGAATCAGAAATGCAATTGCAGCTGATCTTTATTTGGCATCTCCTTTCACAGATTGGCCTCCACCAGTTTCCTAGAAGGAGGCAGCGCACAATTACACCAGCCCCTGGAACCTTCCCACCAGGGGACATTTTCATTAATTGTAGACTTCCATCGGCTCCCTGCCAAATCTCTCCCCAGACAGATGGCGAAACAAATGAAATTCAGCCCCAAACACACCGATACACCAAAAACAAGCAAAGCAAAACACCAACAACAGAAGAACATAAACCAGAACATCCAGACTGGCCTACGTACCTGTTCTGCCTCTGTCTACGGAGCAGGAAAATGCTAAGACTGAAGCCATGCTTCAAGAACTGAGAACCTCCCCGGAAATGCCAGGTTGGGAGTGAAAAAGGCCCTGTAGAAGAGCGCTTGTATGCGGCACTAGGAGAAGTATGGATATTTTCCTCTTCAGGTAACTGGAGGCCCCTGGGCTAAATCTTCACTTGCATAGTTCCCGATGTTTGCTTCATCTTTTTTTTTCAGGTAATATATTTAATTTAGGGTCTCATACCTGCTATGTAACCACTCTACCATGTAGTGGTATGGTAAACCAACTATGGTTTAATCTCTTCTGTAAGTTGTAGCTCTAAGGGCAAGGCAGAGAAATCGAGAATTTCTTTCTCCTCAGCTTTGGTCAAAATTCCAAATAAATTAATTTGCTTGTTTTACATAGATTGATTTTTTTTTATTAATACAAGCAAGCATTTGGCCCCAAAGCCAGGCTTTATAGCTGAATGCATCAACTGGATGGACGGTAGTTGGAGGGTTTAGATTCTAGTGTGCGGGATAACCAGTCAGCAAGACAGACAGGCAGGCACGCACATGCGCGTGCACACGCACACATTTGAAAAGCGAGTTATTTCCCACAATGGGTGATTGCCCTTTTCCTCTGACATTGATCTCCTCTCTCTGTCCTAGTCCTTGGCCTAATGCACGCCTATTCCCATAGACTGTGTGAGGAGATAAAGCAAACGAGGGGCAAGTTTTGACTTTGCAACGCTTTCTTCTGAAAGTAACTGTCAGGTAGGAATGATTGATTCTTACAGAAACATATGTCTCAGGGCACACATCTGTCAAGACATTCGGCTCTTCAATTTTCTTTAGTCACAGTGCTTATTTGCTAGAAGTATATTTACTAGACGTTAGTTACAAGGGAATGTCTGCTTATTTTATCATTATTTGTGAGGAAAATATAATAATATAGTAAAAGTTCCTATAGCAAGTATGGGAGTTTCATTCCTTTAATGTGGTAGGATTCAGATTGTGTGTGTGTGTGTGTGTGTGTATGTGTGTGTGTGTGTGTGTGTTGGATATAAGATCTTTCAGTGTAGCCCAGGCTGGCCCGAACTCACTATATTCCTGCTTCTGCCTCCCCTATGCTGAAATTATAGGCATGTGCCACCATACTTGATTTCAGTTCCCTTTTATTTTATAATTTGTATTTATCAATAGCTTTTGTGGCTACATCATCATTTCTGTTAATAAGAAGATTCCTAGTGCTGTTGTTGGAATTGTTTTGTTAATGAGCACTCAAAGATATCGGCTATAGAGTGCCACTACCAATTGGCCTCGCCATGATGGGCCCCGGTGGCTCTTGTTTCATTCATTGTAAAAGTCCGTGTCAGTTTCTAAGCTTACCGAGATTTACACTTGTACTTCCTTCTTGTCCCGTGCTGGCAGCATCTAGTTTCCACAGCTTATAAGGTTGTCAAGAGTGACCAGGAGATTGGAGTATTGGACTAAGGAATGGTGAAAGGCCATAAAGATGGTGCTTTTTTAAAAATTGTTTTCTTGATTATTAGATTATTTTAATATTTTCCAGAACATTGAAAATGTTGATTTCAACACTTTTGCTAGTATTGTGACTGCTGAATGTATGTGTGTGTGCACCCGGTGTGTGTGCGTGTACCCGTGTGGTGTGTGTGTGTGTGTGTATACACGTGCGCACGCACACAGTACTGAAAATTGGCTCAGCCCATAGTGCTTGCTTGGCAAGTGCTTCATTAGCAACATACACCTCCAGCTCAGTCATTGCTGTTTGGGGAGGTTATTATTCTGCCATTCAGAAAGTTCCTATGCATAGGTTTTATTCTATTTAGGGTGCAGTCAATCTCTGCATGCAATAATAATCTTTCTTTGTGTAGATGTTTGAGTCAGAACTTCTTAGCAGTAGTAAGGATTTAAACTGATAAAAATGAACTGTATAGCTTCTTGTGTCTGGAAATGTCGACAGTACTGTCTTAGAGCAGCGGCTGAATTGTGTTCATGAGCAGGCTACAGGATGAGTATCATTGGCACTGAATGGGTCCATGAGAGTTTTGCTTCTAACAGATAATTTTTTTTCCATGGATATGGAATAATAGCTAAGCCATTCCACAAACCCCATAAATAAAGAATTTCAACCCTCAATTATAAGTACCATTTTTGATCCTCAGAAAAACTCTGTAAGATATGAGGAAGTATATGATTACCTTTAAAAGCCTCACTTAACATTTCACTCAAAGGCTTTATGCCCTTTCCAGATTTTTAACAACTAGAGTTCTCAGAACAGAATGTATAAAGAAACTCAATGCAATAATGCCAAGTAGCCACCAGGTGGCGAAATTGCTTACGGATTTAAGCAGCATAGGCTAAGAAGGGCTGCTTCTTCCAGCCTAGAGGCCATATTTGTGCCTACATCAGGTTTTCTGTCCTGGCTACAGAAATTCTAATGGTGATTTTATTTCTTTGTTTTCCGTTTGTTTTAGAACACTTCCATTCCTATCTGAGACTGCTTTGGGAGCCCTGTGGTGCTGTACCTGCTGTGACATTACCAGGTAGAAGAGAGACGCAGTGCGCGGGATAGTTCTTCAGCTGTTGAGATTCTAGTTCCCACACCACTGGTCCTCCCTGGATTTGTCACCAGAGGGATGGATGTTTACATCTTTTAGGATGGGGAGAAAAGCAAAACTAACAGTTTTGAGACATTAGATGTTCTAATCAGAAATATATTGTAATTTAGCTAAATTCCTATGAAAATATGAGGCCCTGAAAGATCAGTTTGTTGTTTTGTCTATCAGTTTGACTTAGCAATGATTTACTAGGCATTGCCGGCATTGTTTCAAGTATGACTCCCCTAACTCCACAGCCTTGTGCAATTTTTCAGGCACCTTCACGGTGACATTCATTTTAGAATACTTTCTTCCACACCTCTAGAAGATCAGGAAGTTGAAAATGGCAGTACTGATAGGAAACCTAAAATCCAGTCAGATATCTGGCCCACGTTCAGACTTACTTGGTTGTGTTATTTAAATCACAATCCAGACAAAGTTTATACATTGGATTCACTTGAAGTGTGCACTGTGAGACATTTTATGTACAGGGAAGCTCAGGAGCAGAGAAGAGCATATGGTCAGGATTCAGGGAAAATTCTCTGCTGAATCAGTTAGTCCTGTTGGGGTTACAGATTTTAGGAAGCCATAGTCTTTGTCCTCAAGGAGTTCCGTCTTCTGTTCCTATACCGCTCTATGAGTATATCCATCACAAGCCTTACATTACTAGTTTTTCTGCATCTGCCTCAGTTAAAGGCGGGGAGCATTTCGTCTTCAACATTGCATTTGTTATACACAGCTCAGTTACTGGTACACAATAGGAAGCGGTGTCCTTTGTCTAACTTTGCATTGGGAACCAATGAGATTTTTATAGCATGGCTGTGCCTTGATAAGGTTTTCATTGGAGGTAGATAAAGGTTGCTAGTTGTTTTGGAAACATGGACGATTGGAAGCAGGGAGGAGTCTATTGTAGAGTTCATGCTAGAGAGGATGAAGATGAGAACTAGGGTGAAGAAGACAGTAGGTATGAAGAAAAGACGAATGGAGAGTTGCTGAGAAGGCAAGTTAGCACGATTTGGTAACCTTTCCTATGTGGAGAATGAGGAGCTTCAGGCTTGGGGAACAGTGATGCCCCTTGAAGATTCAGAGCAAAATGGGGAAGCTGGTTTGAGGGAGGGGAGATCGATTCAGTTTTGACCATGCTGAGGTTGAGGTGACTGCTAGGAATTTGCCGTCTGTCAGGATTTGGGAGATCAAAATGTAAGAGAGAAGTCAGGAGTTAAAACCAGAGTGTCCTAAGTACATAGGTGGTGCTTAAAATTAGATGCCATCCTTCACGGACAGAATATGTAGTGAAACAGGAAGGGAAACGTTAAGAAACCCTTACAGATTTTAGCAAGTAATTAAAAAATGATAAACTCTGGAGGAAGATAGGAAAGGAATAGCTACAGAGATTAGAGGAAACCAAGACAGTGTGGTGTCATTGCAGCCAAAGGAGGAGAGACTTCAGGAAGGCCTGACCAGGAGCACCTTATACACAGCTAGGGGGTGATGGTGAGGAAAAGTTCCATGTGGCCGAGATGTACAGTGTTTTGGCAGGAGGTGAGCCCAGAAAGACTAATTAGGCCCTTGTACTGTCTGCTTTCGTGTGTCAACTTGACCTCATCTAGAGTCATCAAAGAGGAAGGTGCCTCAGTTGAGGAAATGCCCCGGTGAGATCCAGTTGTAAGGCATTTTCTCAATTAGTGATCAATAGGAGAGGGCCCAGCCTGTGGTAGGTGCTGCCATTCCTGGACTGGGTTCTTTAAGAAAGCAGGCTGAGCAAGCCATGTGAATCAAGCCAATAAACAGCACCCCTCCATGACCTCTGCATCAGCTCCTGCCTCTGGGTTCCTCTCCTGTTTGAGTTCCTGTCCTGGCTTCTTTCGATTATGAACAGAAATATAGAAGTCTAAGTCAAATAAAGCCTTTCATCCCCAACTTGCTTTTTGGTCATGGAATTTTGTTTCAGCTCTAAACCCTAACTAAGACAGTCCTGGTCCTAAAGGAGCTTGGTTATCAGGCCAGAGGACTCTGAACTTTTGTAAATGATGGAGAGTTATCAATAATTTTCAGATAAGAAGGACCTGTTCAGAGCAAGGGTTACAAAGATCAAGCTGGGGCAGCATAGGGACTCCTATGGAGGAATGGGACTGGAGAAAGAAACCCATCAAAATGAAGTGAAGGGGCACTTAAGTTGTGGGGAACAGTACCGTCTTTGAAGATCCTTAGCAGATGAAATTTGCAAGCCCTAAAAGCAGTAGGAACACTCTGAACCATAGAGTAAGCATTATTAATAACCATGTGAGTTATCTTGTTAAGTCCTCACAGCAAGCCTGAGATAGATAAGCATCATTAATGTCATTTCGTGCATGATAAAACAGGAACATAGAGATAAAGACATTTGCTGAACAGAATTGGTAATTGGAAGAACCTATTTTCCAAACTCTGGTGGTTTGGCTAACCATCACCTTCCCCCTCTCCCGCTCCCCTCCGTAGATTAAATCTATGGCTTTCCACAAGCACTCTACTACTAACCATATCTAAATGATCCCATTACCTACCAAAGGCTGACCTCGAACCTAAGCAGGTCTTCAGCTTGCTCTCCTCCTGCCTCAGCCCTCCAAGTAGCTGAAATTACAGGCCTGTACTCCCAGGCCTGGCTCTAACATCCATTCTTAAGGATTTCATTTTTTTTTTTAAAAATTAGAAAACATGTGTTGTGGTACATTGGCCCCTAAACACTACTGCGGTGGTACCCAGTGATGTTGGCATCAACTGCCAGTGACAGAGTGGTGGTCACTCTTACCAGGGGTCTGCCAAGTGGGAAAGCACAAAGGAAACATCTTCAGTCCTGGGTGTGTCCTGGGTGGTCATTGGAGCTTACACAAATAATACTCAAAATACACATGGAAGATATGCATTTAGTGCTACAGCACCCTGAATAAGTAGCCCCTGAGGAGTGTTGCCACACTTTTGCTGTTGTTGACAACAGGTTTTTTTTCTGCTTTAGATGTCAGTTAATTGAACTTCTTTTAAATAATGTGGTTCTCTTCTCTGCTGTCACACATGTGACAGCGTTTACAGCAGAACTTACCAGCGGAGTTCATTGGTGACCCTTGTTTTAATTGATATTTATTGAGCTCTACATTTTTCTGTGCTCCCCTCCCTGCCTCTCTCTCCCCCCTTCAGCCCTCCCCCAAGGTCCCCATGCTCCCAGTTTACTCAAGAGATCTTGTCTTTTTCTACTTTCTACTTCCCATGTAGATTAGATCTTTGTAAGTCTCTCATTGCTGTCTAAGATCTCTGGGATTGTAGTTTGTAGGCTGGCTTTCTTTGCTTTATGTTTAAAATCCACCTATGAGTGAGTCATGTGACATTTGTCTTCCTGTGTCTGGATTACCTCACTCAAAACAATGTTTTCTAGCTCCATCCATTTCCTGCAAAATTCAAGCTGTCGTTATTTTTTTCTGCTGTGTAGTACTCCATTGTGTAAACGAACCACATTTTTCTTATCCATTCTTTGGTTGAGGGGCATTTAGGTTGTTTGCAGGTTCTGACTATGACAGACAAAGCTGCCATGAACATAGTTGAGCACATAAGGACTTCATTGTTTTGCTTGATTAGCTGTGGGAAATGAGAATGGCAAGAGTTAGCAGGCTCAGGTGGGAGTTTCCAGACATCCAGATAATCACAGTGCGTTGAACAGGATTGTACTTCTTGTTCCTAATGGTCCTCAGCATCCTAGAGACAACTGCAGCCTGCAAATTCATACTGTATGCATGAAAATGCAAGATGGAGACAAAGAACAGATATCAGGGGCGGGGGCAGCTAGCTATCTCTGTTGTAAAAGACCATCCAGGACTCTGACATTATCTGGATGATTGCCTGGAGTATGTAATTGCTCCCAATTAAAGTTGACAACACAGGATGCCAGTTAGACTCCATTTTTTTTGCTATATTTTATTGAGGTGGAGGTCAGAGTACATCTTGTGGAAGTTGGTGATTCCTTTTACCATTGCAGTTGTCTCTTTCCTTCCACCGTGTGGTCAGGCTTGGAGTAGGTACCTCTACCCACTGAACTATCTCAGGGACTAGAAATCGGTTGCTCTGTTTGTTGTCCTGCCATTTTTCTCTCCAGCCCTGCAGTTCTAGTGGGGTCTTCCATTCACAGTGTCTTACCTCCCAAGCCATGGTGGATTTGATTGGTTAATGTATGGCTCTGTGACCTAGGTCAAATGGGTAGTCAAAATCTAGTAGGGTCTTCCATTCACAGTGTCTTACCTCCCAAGCCACGGTGGATTTGAGTACTTAATGTATGGCTATGTGACCTAGGTTGGATGGGCAGTCAGAATTCTTTTTCATTGTTTTTCTCTGGTTTAACTGGGGAGAAATAGTGTGTTCCAGTGTTATATTATAATCTAAGTAATCTCTCCCTCTCTCTCTCTCTCTCTCACACACGCGCGCACACACACACACACACACACATCCAAGGCTGCTGTAGCTCTGGATAGGTTTGCTGTTGCCCACTCTTCTAAATATTTAAGCAGCTGCCCACATCTATAGGCTGGTCATATTTATGTTGTTGTTGCAGGATTACTGTTCACTATTCGAATGAGCATATTTTCCTTTCTGTCATTTGGCATAGTTACAAAGCTGCTTAAAAACCCTTATCTGACCAACGGGGCAGCCTGGGTTCTTGTGGCCTGGGCTGCCTGAAGCATCCTCATGCAGGTACTGGGTGGTTGGGTGGCAATATGATGAGCAAGTATATGGTGGAGAAACGGGAGAGAAAGAGCAGAGTGGTTCGTTCATGTGCTATGGTAAGAGGCAGGTCTGAAGAGGGAAGGCAGTGAGGAATGAGCTGATGTTGGCAGCCTCCTTGCCACCTGGGACCAGGGTGATGCCCAGGCCTGAGCTGATGCCTACAGCCATATCTGCTTCTCTGACAACCAGAGTCCATGTTGATGTTCATGACCCATGTTGCCACCAAGGCCATGGGAATGCCTGGGGTATGGGATGCCATCTGTAGCCATTTTGACGTCCAAGGGCTATGCTGCTACCATGGCCACATTGATCTGTGTAGTCTGTGCTACCACTGGGAGGCACGATGACATCTGGGCCTGGGCTGTTGCTGGGGGTGTGTGTGTCTGTGTCTATGGCACTGTAACACCCAGGGTCTGTGTTAATGTCTATGGCTTCAGTAACCACTAAAGGCTGGGCAGATGACTAGGATCTGGTCAAACATGCAAGTCCATATTGGTCTTCTAGGGCCATGCTTCCATTGGGGCCTGTGCTGCCACCCTGGACCATGGTGACATCCAGGCCCAGGCTGTGATGAAGGGCCATGTTTGGGTTTGTGGCATTCCTACAGCCAGGGTCTGTGTTGATATCCATGACTTCTGATACCACCAAAGGCCAAGCAAATGCCTGGGGTCTGGGCTGTCACCTAAACCCAGGTGAGAATCTGAGGCTATGGGGCCATACAGATCTGAGTGGCCTGAACTGCCACAGTGTGCCATGGTGGCATGCAGACCCAGGCTGCAGCTGAGGGCCATGACTCGGTCTGTGGCCTTATAGCAGCAAGGGTCTGTGTGGATGTCTGTGGTTCATGATACCATTGAGGGCCTTGCTGATGCTAGGGGTCTGGTCTGCCACCTGGAGCCATGTTGGTATCCAAGTGCTACATTGTCTCTGGAGTCTTACTGATCAGAGTGGCCTGCGCTGACACCTCGGGCTAAGGTGACATCTAAGTCCAGACCATGCTGGAACCTGAGAGCCTATGCTTCCACCTGGGGCCATGGTGACACCCAGGTCAGGATTGCCGCCAAGGGTCCTGTCTCTGCCTGTGGCCCTACTGCACTCAGGGTCTAAGTTGATGGCCGTGGCTCCAGGTACTATCGAAGGCTATGCTGATGTCAGGGTTCTGGGCTGCCTCCTGGGGCCATGTTGGTGTCCTAGGGCTACTCTGCTGCAGGGGCCATGATGATCTAGGTGGCCTACACTGCCTCCTGGGACAACGGAGACATCTGAGCCTAGGCTGCTGCCTGGGACCAAAATCAGAGGCTGTGATGTCTGTAGCCCATGGTGCCACCAAAAGCCACATGGATACCCAGAGTCTAGCCATATCCTGTGGCCATCTTGGCATCCAAGGGCTGGGCTGCCACTGTCATCTGGGCTGCCATGGTGTCATCTGGGCCAGGGCAGCTGCCGATGCTGGCTGCTTTCGGGTCCCCAGCAGTCCCAGAGACTTGCAGCATCTGTGCCTCCCACCCGCTGCCGCCTGCCCACACTGCTCGCCAGGGACCAGCCACCTTCATTTGGGGACCTGCTGTGCATGGTCTCAACCCAGCAGTCCCAGGCACCCACAGCAAATCCATTTCATTGGTGCCCTGATGAGACTCCTGAACCAGTTTTTTTTTTTTTTTTTTCTACTCCCACTACCGGCTTCCTGGCTTCGATTGGTGAGTCTCCCCCAGTTCTTAACTAAAATTGTGTTTGGACTGACCCAGGGTTAGTCAGCCTGTTCTAGCACTGCAAACTCTGTGAGGTACATTCGACTGGGGACCCAGGGTCCCTCAGATTCTTTCTCTTTTTTTCTATTTCTTCTCTTTTCTTATTTTTCCTCCCTGTAAAAGGCCACTCAGAGTGGCCTCTGGCCTCTCTGGCTTCCAGTAGCAACTGGATCCAGCTGGGCCTTACCTTCCCTGGGGGGACAATCCCCCATGAGTCTTGTGAAGGTTATGCGCTGAATCACACCTTGCCCACAGTCAAGAGATGTCTCACGGTGTGCCTAGTGTTGTTTTGTGAGTTTTCACAATTTCAGCTGTGGGTAGCTTTTTCAATTCCAGCCATGGCATGATACAGTTTTTTTCGGTTCCAGCCTTTTGCTCCCCTCTGCGGCTTGTGGCATGGTGGCTCAGCCACAGGGCGGATCACACCTCTAGGTCTCTTTTACTAAGTTTAAAATCCGTGCAGCTCAAAAATGTGGCTTTTTTTATATACCATGTGACCGCCGCCATTTTGATTGGGGTCAGGTGACTTTGCCGCCATCTTGGCTGAGAGCCAGGTCAGGTGACCAAGTTCCACCATCTTTACTGAGGTATTCCCTGCCTGGTTCCCCAGTGTTAACTTTGTTGCATGGGTGACCTTACTGCCATCTTGGCTGAGAGCCAGATCAGGTGACCAAGTTCTCCCATCTTTACTGAAGTGTACCTAGCCTTGTCCCCCAGTTTACTTATTTTTTTTCACTAAATTCCTCTCGTTGACTCTGTTACATGTCTGTTCTGCACAGTGGCATGCCTTTGGTAGGGCCCACCAAGTGTTGTTCCTTTTGGAAACTACAGCTCCCAGATTCCTCCTGGATTATGGACACCTGTGCGCGCGGGCGCACACAGGTGCAGGACATTTCTCCCACATACCCTTGCGCTTCTCGTTAAAAAGCGAGCTTCCACGAGGTCTCGCTCTCTCTTGCCCCTTACCCTTGTGTGTCTTGCACACCTGTCCCTTCTTGTGTCCCCCCCCCCATTAAAGTGCACCCACGTGGGAGGCGCGTGTCTGTGTCTTCTCCTTTCGTGCGTGTTTTGTCTGTCCTGTGTTTGTCTCCACACACACACCCGCTTTAAAAGAATAATATTTTGGTGCTGTGCGTAACCGACTCGGAGACTTCTTCATGCCGGATTCTCCACCCGAGGCCTGGGCTCCGGGCTTCTGGCGCTTCCCGGAGTCCGGAGCCTCACAGCTGGACACAAAGTCAGAACCGAGACCTACAGCTACCTCCAACTGCTCACCACGGCCAAATCCGACCAACACCAACTAATTCGTGAGTTTACCCCGCTGGCTCCTCTTTCCCGTTATGCCTAGAGAATGTCCAGCCGGCTTTCTCTGGTGCGTCCTGGGTTGAGTTGCTTCCCCCCCCCCTTTTCCTTCTCCCGGCCTTGCGCCCTTGGTTAAATTTGGTTCTGCCCGCCACTGGGAATTTGGTGTTCCCAGCTTTTCTCCCTGGGAATTTGGTATTCCCAGCTTTCTGCCTTCTTTACTCCTTCCTGCTTTTTCTGCTTCACGTGCGGGCTTGCTAATGGAGCAAGCACCTTTGGCTGTACGGTCAGCCCCAAAGGGCGTAACTGTCTCCTCCCAGCCGGGTCTGTTTCCCGTCGGTAGCTGGGCTCGGGCCGGTTTCGCCCATAACACGGCCTTCCGATTCCACGGACGCCTGTAACTGGAACTGCTGTGCTCGTGGCACCTCCGTGTGCCTCCGGCAGTCAGCTCCACGATTTACCATGGGTGCTAGGCCATCCAAGGCTATACCCCCTACTTCCCCTCTCGGTCAGCTCCTGGAATCTCTAAAGCCTCATGCTTTGATTCTCTCTATCAAATTGAGCAAGCTGACGCATCTCTGCTCCAAGACTTGGCCCCGTTATAAATTACAGGGTGATCTCCGCTGGCCTTCTCAGGGCTCATTTGACCCCGATGTCTTACATGAGTTAGCCAATTTTTGTCATCACTCAGCCAAATGGAAGGAAATGACGTATATCATGGCATTCTTTTACATGGCCCTAAAGACTGATCCGTCTATGGCTTCTCAGTGTTCACCTGCCCACATGTTTCTGGCAATGTCTTCCCTGCAGGGTCCGTCTTCCTGGCAGGCACCCTCCGCTCTGGCAATGGCCATGGATCCAGCGGACGAGCCTCCGCCGCCCCCCCCCCCCCCCCCCCCCCCCCCCCCCGTGATGCCTCTAACCGTTCCACCCTCAGATCTCCCTCTCGTTCTCCGCTGCGCAAACATTTCCCCAGATCCAGGTCTCTTTCCCCAAGGAGCTTCTGTTCCCGCTGAAGCTCTGGTTCCCTGTCCAGTTCCTCCGATCCACCTTCACCTCATTTCTCCAGCAACCGGACACCCAAACAGCTAACAGTGTCTTTCCGCCACAGGCAGCCGGAAGCTTTGTGGGACTCCTCTGTGTCCCCCTTCCCCCCCCCTACTCCGCCCCCTCGGTCTTTCAAAACGCCCTCAGGCGCTAAACCCGGCCGCCATCTGGCCCCAACCTTTACCCCACCCCTTATGCGCTCGTGGGCCACAGCAGAGACCGGCCCCCGTCAAATTAAGCCAGCTACATTCCTTTCAGGTGGCGCTGATGGAAGATACGAACCTCACATTTCAAGCACAGCCCACAGCCTCACAGACACCTCCCAACACCCAACAGATCCTGTCCTACCTACACCAGCTTTTTCATCCCAATGAAAAAGCCCTACTTCATTTTGTAAAAACACATATCAAACCCACACCTGAGGATATCAGGTTTCTAAAAGCCACCACTGCTTCCTGTCAGATCTGCCAAAAGTCAGATCCCAGGACCAAATATTGTAGCTTCCCTTTTCCTACCCACCAAGCCAGAGTCTCTCTTCCGGGAACTGACTGGCAGCTGGATTTTACTCATATGCCCACAGTCAGGAAAATTAAATATCTCCTGGTTCTGGTGGATACAATGTCTGGATGGGTCAAAGCCTTCCCCACCTCTAACAAGAGAGCCCAGACAGTCTCTGACGTTCTTCTCCGAGAGATTATTCCCAGGTTTGGACTCCCAACTTCTCTTCAGTCAGATAACGGCCCAGAGTTTACTTCCCAGATTTCTCAAAATCTGTCCAAAGCACTCGGAATTCCCTGGAATTTCCACATACTGTACCACCCTCAGTCTTCAGGTAAGGTAGAACGGACTAATGGCTCTCTAAAGGGAGCTCTCATGAAGATGTCACAGGAACTCCACCTCGATTGGGTAAGACTTCTGCCCCTCGCTCTTCTCAGGCTTCGGGCTCTCCCCAAGGGCCCCCTTTTCATTTCACCCTTTGAACTTATGTATGGGCGGCCGGTCTTAACACCCGGCCTCTCACCAGAAACCTCTCCCCTCCCTGATCACCTGCTCACTCCCCTTCTTTCACACTTACGTTCACTTCTATGGGACTTTGCGGATCACTCTCTACCTCAGCCTTGCACTAACGCATGTCCACCACCAATTAAAATAGGAGATGAGGTATTACTCTCACCCCCAGGTCAACGCCCCCCACCTCTTTCTCCTAAGTGGCAGGGACCTTTCAGAGTAATTCTTCTAACCCCACAGCTGCCAAGCTTGAAGGAATCCCTCATTGGATTCACTTGTTACACCTTAAACCATTTATCTCCACGGCTCAAGATAATCCTTCATACACGGTAACCCAGACAGGACCCTGTTCCCTCAAGTTCCAAAGGACACCAGGCTCAGCCCCCCCTACCCCATCCGCCACCTAATCCTCCTGTGTTAATACACCTTTCCTTCTCCAAATTCCTAAATAACCATTCAGCTGTCATTACAGATCATCAAATACGAAGTCAAGGGCTCGGCGGTAAGCAGATTCTTAACAAAGTTACTTGACATAACAGGTCAGTCCACCTAAGCAGACAAAACACAAGCAGATCGGTAACGGAATAAGTATCATTTAATTTTTTTTTCTCTTCTTTCTTTCATTCTTAGAACTCCTCCCTCACCCCCACCCCCAAATTTCCCCTCTAATCTTCCAAACCTTCCAAATCTCCTCTCCCTAATTTCTTTCTCCACTAATGCAGTTTTTGCCTTCCAGCATATTAACGATGACCCAGCTACTCAGGAAAAGCCGGACAAATGTGACTTCTTCAATCAGCCATCTCAGAACGCCAGCGAACAGAACATAACCATTAGGACATCGCCAAGATCATCGGACAATCAGCCATCTCAGAACGCCAGCAGACCAACAGGACACCGTCAAAATAACCGGACACTCCCTGGACCCCCTAGACGCCCAAAGTCAGCAGGAAGCAGTCGTGAGAGACCGGGCTACGCCCCCATTCCCTACCCCTTAAGACCCCCCCCCCCGATTTTTTTTAATAAAACCAAAAGGGTGGAATGTTGTTCCTTTTGGAAACTACAGCTCCCAGATTCCTCCTGGATTATGGACACCTGTGCGCGCGGGCGCACACAGGTGCAGGACATTTCTCCCACATACCCTTGCGCTTCTCGTTAAAAAGCGAGCTTCCACGAGGTCTCGCTCTCTCTTGCCCCTTACCCTTGTGTGTCTTGCACACCTGTCCCTTCTTGTGTCCCCGCCCATTAAAGTGCACCCACGTGGGAGGCGCGTGTCTGTGTCTTCTCCTTTCGTGCGTGTTTTGTCTGTCCTGTGTTTGTCTCCACACACACACCCGCTTTAAAAGAATAAGAGCATCCACTTTCCCCAATTTCTGTTCACTCTGTGTGTATGTGTTCCTTCATGTAACTTAAATGTACCTATACTTAATGTTATAATTGTTTATTGCATCTCATTTCAGACTACAAAAACAATTAAGTCTCGTGTTTTAAACTGGAATGTACTTTTAAGTCTCTCACAAAAATACCTTATATTTAATCCAACCCTCATTTAAAATATATTAACCTGTTCTCTACTATTGTCAGTTCTGCCGTTAACCTTCTATTACAAGCAGTTTTTTCTTCTTTCTGTCTTTTTACGAGTGTAATTCTTACCTGTTAAGTTAAGAGCCAGTACAGTCAAGCTCAGACCCAGCCCTCCAGGCAGATTCTATACTGTAGTTATACCTGATAAACAGCACTCAACTGCTCAGAGATCTGGGGAATATGGCATTAAAATATTTAATTATTAAAAACTTTTCATAACAAAAAAACCAGGTTGGCTCCTAGCAGCAGCACTCTGCTTCCTCCAAAGAAGACAGAAGACAAATGGGCACAGAACAACGTCCATCTGCAATTCACTTCAACTGCCAAGTGCTGACCACTGGGCAAAACTACCTTTCATCTAAGCTGATCTCCTGATGTGGACAGAATCTCTGGATTCGACAGCCTAGCTGCTCAGGTCAAGGTAGGCATGTCTTCCTACAGATTTCTTAGCCCACAGGGTCTTCCGGAGCCTGGCAGGCCCTGTGCTAAACAGCAGAAGGCAAATGCGACCTTCAGCGACCATGGAGCACCTGAGACGTAGCTCTGGGTGCCAACCAAGTAAGTTCTCTGTCATTTTTTTTTTAAATCAGTAACTCAAGTAAAATTTTATCCTTCTCAAAGATCACTGATGCAGTTTGACAGCTGAGAGGTTTTGTCAGTTTAAAAGGACAACCTCACCAAACAAATTTCAGATCAAATTTCTCTCTCACGATGCCTTTCATAGTCTTAAAAATACTTTTCATTGTGCAAAAATATCTGTCACAGTCATTCTGACATAAACATGCTACTGTTTATACAATGTATAGTCTAAAACTTCTGTTTTCACAAACCCAAATAATTCTTATGAGTTCCCAGGACCCGAATTAAAGAATCTACCTTAAACAGGTCAGATACACCGCCCCCTTAATTCCCTGGTCCTATTTTTTTTCCTTAATTTAACTTTGTCCTCTGTTCTGCCAATACCTTAAATAGGTGTAAGAGACACCAGACATTTCCATACCACAAACATAGGACAGGAGCAAAGAGACCAGCTATGCCAGGATGTGGCCAGTATTATTCTTTTTAAAGCGGGTGAGTGTGGAGGGTAGAGACAAACACGAGACAAACGAAACACGCACGGCGGAGCGGGGTGGGAAGGAGATGCAGACACGCGGCGGTCCCACGTGGGTGCACTTTAATGGGGGAGGGGTAACAACAGGTAAGGTACAGGTGTGCAGACACAAGAGGGTGGGAGGGGAAAAGAGAGCGGGGACTCGTGGAGACTTGCTTTTTAACGGAGAACGCAAGGGTATCTGGGAGAAGTGTCCTGCACATGTCATCGTGGTAATCCAGGGGAATGTTGGGAGCTGTAGTTTCCAAAAGGAACAACAGCCAGCGCCCAGCCTTCTCAGGTCCCCCCCCCCCCAAAGACAACGCCAACAAATAAGCCGGAAGCAGTCTTGAGAATCCGCTGCCCCAAATCCATCAACCTGTGGTGGTAATCTCCCGCTTTTTATTATAAAAAAGAGATGGGAATGTAATGTTCTGTCTCTTTAAGAGACAAGCCATGCCCACTCCCTTCCTGCTTGCAGTCTCAGCCCCACTCTCTCCCTGTCCCCTCTCTCAGAGAGGCAGTCTTTCTCCCCCCCCTCCTTCTCTCTCCCCCCTTTTCCTCTTTTCCTTCCCCTCCATAACACCAAATAAATGTCCAATTCCATTCTGTATGGTATGCCTATCTCTGTGCCCCCTACCTGCTGCCTATCTGTTTGTTGCCACCAGGGACCAGCCACCGTCCCTGCCGCGTGGTCTCTGAGACTGGCTGCTTTCGGGTCCCCAGCAGTCCCAGAGACTTGCAGCATCTGTGACTCCCACCTGCTGCCTGCCCACACTGCTTGCCTGGGACCAGCCAGTCGCTACATGACTGGGGACCAGCCACCTTTGTTTGGGGACCTGCCGCATGGTCTCAACCCACAGCAAGCAAGCTGCTGGGGACCGCAGCAAATCCATTTCAGATTATAGGGGGCTCTGAGCCACTACCTTATTGTAGGAGGCTGCTTATTTGTTTCCTGGCCACCCTGACTCCAAAATAATCACATAGAAACTATAATATCACTGCTTGACCAATCATGTCAGTGTATTGTTGCTAGCTCTTATATCTTTGGTTAACCCATTTCTATTATTTTATATTTTACCATGAGGTTGATGGCCTACCAGCAAGATTCCAGCTGCCAGCTCACGTCGTTCCCCTCTGGCGGCTACATGACATCTCACAGACTCCACCTTCTTTCTCCCAGCATTCTGTTTAGTTTTCCCACCTAGCTCTACTCTGTCCTATCACAGGCCAAGCCAGCTTCTTTATTCATTAACCAATAAGAGCAACACATATACAGAAGGACTTCCCACACCTGTGGCTATGTTGGTATCCATGGGCCTTGCTGCCATGGGAGCCATGCCAATTAGAGTGGCCTGCAAAGCCACATGGGCCTTGCCCAGGCTGTTGCTGTAGGCCATGTCTGGGTCTGTGTCCCCAACAGCAGCCAGGGTCTGGGCTAGTATCCACAGCTCATTTTCCTATAGGAAGTCATAGTAACCATACATGTTGAAATCTGAGGGCTGTGCTGATCCAGCCCTGTCCCTCACTGGCCCCGGGATAGCTGGCTCTGCTCCTTGCTAGACACTGCAGCAGGAGAGCTGGCCCCATCCCTGTCATGGGAGAGCTGACACCAGCACTCGGGAGAGATGGTCCCAATCCTCACCACAGGCATGGGAGCGCTGGTCCCATGGCATGAGCCTAGGAGAGCTGACTCTCCCCCTCACCTAAGGGGGTGGTCCCAAAGGCCCAGACCAACCAGCTCAGCTACCACCCAGACCCACGTCACAGGCCTTGGGTTGGCCCACCCTAACATCTACCCCATCTGTGACCTGCTAGAGTGTGCAAAGGGACTGGTCCTATGGAACAATAACCACAGGACCTCCATGACTCAGGACAACAGCATATCCAAGAGGAGTTTCTATGAGGACCCAGTGATGATGGTGCACCAGACTCCAGAGGCCTTGAACCAGACCAGTGATTCATTGCAAAGGGGCTGATTGGACGTGCAAAGGGGCACGTCGCAGCTCCTGGTGCCACCCAGAGGAAAGATGAAGGAGTTAGGTGGGTTTTATTTGGTTTTGTTTTTTTTGGGGGGGGTCATGCTGCAGGGGTGAAGGATGGATAGAGAGGGACTTGGAGGTGAGCAGGATTGGGGTGCATGATGCGAAATTTTCAAAGAATCATGTTTAAAAAGAAAAATCATTCTCTGTAGTGGTGGTGGTGCACGGCTTTTACCACAGCACTCGGGAGGCAGAGACAGATGGATCTCCCTGAGTTCAAGGCCAGCCTAGACTACAGAGGGAGTTGTAGGATAGCTAGGTCTACACAGAGAAACCCTGTCTTGAAAAACCAACACTCATCAAACAACCCTTGTCTGCCAATCTGGCATATTGGTTATTTTGGGATCAGTCTTTTTGAGTACCTTTTCAGTACACGACACACTTTCCTGTTCCCTGTGTAAAGCCAATCATTCTGGCTTGTCTCATGGACATTGTAAAAGCCCTTCTACAGTCTGTGGATACCATTCTGTTCCCATGAAGAGTATTGATATTTTGTTTATGTTTCAGCAAGTAGTCAAGTAGACTGAACTCAGACAACATCCTCAGCCTCTGCGGAGAACAAGTGGACTTGAGTTCGTTCAGCCTTATCTGGGCTGTTTAGAGATGGTGCTACAGCTGCATCATTCAAAGGTCAGCAAGAAACATGGGCAGTGTGTATGCAGAATTTGGGCCCCCCCTATCAGCCTTCCCCCCCCCCCCCGGCCAGACTTTTACCCTCCACTGGTATGATATGAAAATCCTGAACTCTCTCCTCTGATCTTCCAGCCAGTAAGGTTCAGTCATGACTTAGAGCTCTGCTGTGTTAAAGACTTAAAACTAAGAGTCTCATCTAGTTCTGACCTCTTCTTTGAAATGCCAGTTTTCTTTCAGTTTCTTACCGCTTCAGGTTACTTGTCAGTTCCTGTATGCAGTTTTTAAAAAATATTTTTCTCCAGAGTACACAGTTGTTAGACAGTTTCCTAGGAGCTCCTTGGGCACTAACTGAAAACACAACCCGTGTGGGCTACGCTACAGCCTGTGGCACATACAGCGTGAGCACTCCAGTACTGCAGCAAAAATGCTACCTAGGATCTACGTGTTTGACTCGGATGGTGGGACTTGTTATGACAGGCTTTGTAACCACGTAAGATAAAGGTGATGCAATCCCAGAGAACCTAGACAACAATGAGGACCCTAAGAGACATGCATGGATCTAATCTACATGGGAAGTAGAAAAAGACAAGATCTCCTGAGTAAATTGGGAGCATGGGAACCTTGGGGGAGGGTTGAAGGGGAGGGGAGAGGAAGGAAAGGGAGCAGAGAAAAATGTAGAGCTCAATAAAATCAATAAAAAAAAAAAGATAAAGGTGATGGCATTTTCAACTGGCATGCTTGAAGAGCAGGAAGTTTGATAATTGTCCACTTGGGGATTTTCGTTAACTCAGATGACCTCCCCAAAATCAGGTGGCGTTCCTCTGCAAGCTGAGTACCTGTCCCACGAGCAGCTTCAAGGATCAAATATTCCCTGTGCTAATATCTCGGAATTTTTAAAAGCAATGTTAAGCTTGTAGTAAACTGTGATTTCTCTTCAGTCTGTAGGTCAAATGGACAAAGCAAGACTCCCACACAACCCTCTGCCGGCTATGGTGTCTATGATAGGAAGGAGTGGATAAACAGACAAGCTTGAAGACGGATGAGTGACCTGAACACAACCAACATAATGACAACAGTTGGCATGCCGCCGTGAATAGGGCATATCCTACCTGGTCCTAGATCACAAGCTACAAGTCGTCAAGGCTGCTGAGATAGGGTGACGCAGTTTGCTCTAGGGATGAGCTTTCACAGAGGTTGTCCAAACCCAAGTGGTCAATCTTAGACACATGCAAACCAATAAAGATAAATGTACTTAGGGCATATAAACATGTGTGTACCCACATACAGATGAATATACATGTAGTAAGAGCAGTTAAAGCACAGGCCGTGAATTAGGGAGGGGGAACAGAAGGGGAAGAGGGGAGTGATGTACATGCAGTACTCATGTACAAAAATATCCAAAAATGTAAATAAACAGTATGTTGTAAGATGCCTTCCAACTTTTGCTTTGGCCTTTTGGTGCCATGAACACCAATGTAAAGCTAACTACCTTGCTAATCAGGACAAGTGGAGGGGCCCTGAGATGACAGGCATTTGAAGGAGGCCCTGAGTTCCTCCAGGCCACTTAGCCAACTAGCTGGGTATCCTAGAGTGACCCAGTAGATGGGAAGCCGAGTAATTTTACAGTAAGTCTCACCCAGATTTCTCACCTACACAGACAGTCATGAGTACAATAAGTTATTGTTTTAAGACCCAACTTAGGGAGTGGTTTATTCATCAACAATGTAGAACTAGGACATTGGATGTTGCAGTAGCAGCTCGAAGGTCACATACAACTAAGAGCAATTTTCTTTCTTTTTTAAATTCTCCCATAATTATATCCTGAACACAGTTTCCCCTCCCTCCACTGCTCCCCACACCTCTCTGCCCCAGATCTATACCCCCTTCATTTCCCTTCAGAAAAGAGCAGGTCTCCTAGGGATAGCAGCTGAAAACGGCATAACCGTTGCTGGTGGGAGTGTTTTTCTTAATAGCAGTTTGGCAAAATAGTTGTTTTGCGTCCATGTGTACCACAATGCATGCCTGGTGCCTGCAGAGCCAAAAAAGGTATTAGAGTTACAGATATTTGTGAACTATCATGTGGGTGCTAGGAATTGAATCTGGGTCCTCTGGAAGAGCAGATGATGCTCTTAACTGTTGAGCCATCTCTCCAGCCCCCAAGGGAACTTTTTTAGAATGATGAAAGATACTTGGGAATGTGTCCATGTGAATAGGGAGCTTCTCTATGATGATGGTAGGTCTTTGGAAATGTATATATGTTAATAGGGAAAAGCTAGGGGAAAGAAGCCTAGAGGTGTAGAGGAGGGAGGAGAGGGCTGATGTATGAGGTATCTAAGAAGGGAAGATGAGAACCACACTCTGGGCATAAGAAGCTTCTAAAGAAAGATGCTTTCTCTCCCATGGATCTATAAAATTATGAGGCTGCCCCATGTAGTAAAGAAAATATACAAAGGTTAGATAGAAATTGATTAGTACCCCAGGAATGGTCAACATGTTCCTTAACAGGATTACTTACAAGCCAGAAAGTAACTGATATATATCAGGTTTGTGTGTGTGTGTGTGTGTGTGTGTGTGTGTGTGTGTGTGTGTGTGTATTTGGACTAGCAACTGGGTCACCTTCTGCTAAAGCCATTTGTGAACATTAAAGCCACACCTCCACATAGTTGAGCTGGTCTGGACTCAATCGGCTTTCAGAATAATAGAGGCTTTTAGTTTGGGTTGTGGTATATAACTGTATCATATAAACACTTTGGCTTTGCCTTTGATAGTCACAGACTTCACATGCTAATAAGAAAATGATGTGTCCAGGGAAAGTGGAAAAGCAACTTTGTTTAATAACAACCTCTTTTAAATCACCTATTTTAGAAAATTATAACCATATATAAAATTAGACAAGCTAGCACAATGAACCTGCATATATCTACCATCCACCTTCAATAATTATTAATTTCTTAAAAACAACAAAGAAGTCTGAAAGTAAGACCTATAAATTCAGTATTAGGGAGGGTGAGACAGGATAATTGCAAGGCCAGCCTGGACTACATGATGAGTTTCAGGTAAGTCTGAGATATAAGGAGAACCTGTCTATAAAAGCATAAAGATAAGAAATAATTAGCAATTTTTGCCCATAATTTAAATGATACACATATCTTATTATATCCATAGATGATCCTCATTATTCAAAACTTTTATATTTATGCCTTGGCCTGTTTGCTAGAATTTGTCTCTGCTCCCATAGTTAGTACTTATGATACTCTCACGGTAGTTCATGGACCTACACAGAGAGAGGGCCAGGCACTTGATGTTCTCAGCTGAGGTTGAATAGGGAACACACTGCTTTTCTCCTATCTGGTATTTCACTGTGTCCTCTTCATGGTCTTTTTAATGCTATGTTTTATGCCTTTTGTTGGTGATTTCATTGCTTAAAGAAGCCACTGATAATAATGTTAACCCCAGAGAGGTGTGCTGTATCTTATGGAGACTATGTATGGTTAGATAAGTTTCACTCTGGCACGAGCTATCATGTGTTTGGCTATGATTTTGTAAGTTGTGAATCAGCAATCATGTACTTCTAGAAAAAGAAAGAAGAGTGTTTTGATCATATTTACCCTGTATGCTCTTTTGTCCCACTCTACTCCAGCCTTCTTTCCACTTTCATATTTCATCTGGGACTCGATGAGTGTAATTAGGGTTGTTGATAGTAACACGGGTGAGAGCTTGTTTACAGGAGCGTGGCTACATGACTGAAAAAAAAAAAACCTCTCCCTCCTCTGTCAACATTAACTACATTTAAGTCCTCAGGAAGGGGTAAAGTCATGGTCGTGTTTCTAGTTTCATGACCTGTACCCATAGTCCCACAAAAATGTTATTTTCTTCTTTTGCTGTCTGTTCAAGTCATTTGCCCTGTATTTCTAGAGTTGGAGTTCTAGGTAATCAGCCTTCTTTTCTATGTATAGCTGGCAACGATTTTTCTCCCATCCCATAGGCTATCTCTGTTGAATTTTTCCCTTGTGTAAAAGCTTTATAATTTCATGATGTCTCACTTGCTAATTCTTGGGATTATTTCCTGTGATACTTGAATCTCTTTCAGAAAGTTTCTGCCTATGCCTATATCTTAAAGGAACACAGAACAACAAACACCTTTATTCCATGAACTCCAGAGATGGTTTATTTGGCTTTCTGGGCTTTGATCTTCCTCAGCTGCTCCTTGCCCTGAACTGCATAGCCATTTGCTCTATCACACTGAGCCCAGTCTTGATGCAATATAGCCAAGAAGCTTACCCTGCTGGAATTTATGGGTATCTCTTGAAATGTGGCCCCTATGTTTTTCTCCAGCACCTTCGTAATTTGATCCAGCCGAATTAATTTTTGTTCAGTGTGAGAGTCACAAATCTACTTTATTTAATTTATAGTTTCCCCAGCACTATTTGTGTGTGTTTTGCTCTTTTGTTGACAATTAAGTGGTTGTAGCTGCATGGCTTTATTTATGGGTTTCCTCTTCTAGTCCACGTCTGTTGTACTGCTTTTGTTGCTTTTGTAGCAGAATTTGAAATTAGATATTGGGATACTTCCAGCAATGTGCGTTCTGCTTAAGAATGCTTTGGCTAATTCAAGGTCTTCGGTGCTTTCTTAAGAATTTTAGGATATTTTTTCTACTGTGGAGAACATTGTTGGAATTTTTATGGGAATTGTATTGACTCTTTATAAGTGTAATAATTTAAATACCAATATGATGTTATAGATTTGATTTTCAGATATGTTCTCCCGGTCTATAGCTTAGATTTTTGTTCTAAGTCTTTTCTAGAACAAGGAGTTAATTCTGTTTAACTCTAATTTAAAAAATCATGACCTCATTCTGCCCATGTTCAGAGAACCTGATTGAAGCTGAATTCAAAAGTAATAAACAAAAAAATACGAACTATGAGTTGGAGTCCCAGACCAAATGAAAAGGAGAAACTGAGAGGAGCACCAGCATCCATCTCTTTGTTTCCTTCTTCTATTTACATCAGGTGGGCGCATTTCTGTTTGTCTGTTTATTGGTTTTCTATTCATTTCTAGTTTGTGTCTTATGCAACCCCAGTAGCACAATCTCAATAGATGCTGTCTATATAATAAATAGTAATATCTGCTAGAGTGATTATCCCTAGTTTATTCATTTGAATATGTTTTGGCTATTCTAATGTCTTTACTTTTCCTTATATGTTGTGGAATAAACTTGGATATATCTATAAGAAATCTCATGAATTTTTGATAGTAATTATATTATACTATACATACTTATATAATTATATAGAGATCATTTTGAGAAAAAATGCACCTTTACTAAGTTAACTATTCTCTGTTGAGTCATATTCTCACTATATACTTCAGACAGTCTTCTAATGTGCTGTGTAATACAGGGTGACCTTGAGCTAATGGCAGACCTGTCTTCTGAGTTCTGGAGGTGTGTGCCACCATGCTATGCAAAAGCAGGGTACAAATGTGGCATCTTTTCTGTCATTTTGTATCTGTCTCCTTTACTTTGAGTTATTGAGTATTCTTGCGAATGAATAATATGTCTCTCCATTAAAAATAACCATTGCTTATTTACTTTTATCAGGATTTTATAGGAATGGTTACTTCCTATAACTTCATCTCAGAATAGAGTAGAAATGCTGCTTGGTCTTTGAATGTTGCAGCCCTCCCTTTGCTCATTTGTGATGATAGCTAACTTATTAGGTTATTGTGAAGATTTAAAGAAACAATGCAGGTTTGAGCCCTGTCTCTGACATGTTTACTTCACTCTTAACTTTTCACCCATACTTCCTTGTTGCGCTCTTGAGTCTTCATCTGTGAATCCATATGCAATAATAGTTAAGAGAACTGGTTGCTCTTCCAGACGACCGGGGTTCAATTCCTAGCACTCACAGGGAAGCTCACAATTGTCTTTAACTCCAATTCTATGGGATATAGCATCCTCAACACAGACATACATGCAGGCAAAACAATCATGCACATAAAATAAAAATAAATTATTTCCAAGCAAAATTAATCCAACACAGTTTGAGAGATTATAGGTGAAGGAGATTATTTAAGACTGAACAATTTCTTTTTGTTGTTGTTTGGGGGTTCCTTGAGACTATGTCTTACGATGTAGCTCTGGCTGGCCTAGAACTCATAATACAGACCAGATTGGCCTCAAACTCTCAGAGATGCACCTGCCTCTGCCTCCCAAGTGCTGGGATTATAGCTGTATACCACAGTGTTAAAACATGAACAGAGACAGATCTGGTCGTCTACAGAGTGAGTTCCAGGACATCCAAGGCTACACAAAGAAACCCTGTTTTAAAAAAACAAAGAAATTAATTAATTAGTTAATTGATAAATAAATAAAATAAAACATTACAAGTCTTGAAGCTGGTTGATGATGAAGTTTCCTTACACTATTCTCTAAACTTTTGTGTGCTTGAACATAAAAAGCAATTTGTATAATCATTTGAAAACTTGAAATTTGGAGGATTTCATAAAGCTGAATTAATTCTTACGTATTAATGTCTCTAGTAGCTCAGAGGTAAAAGAATATTAAAGACAAGTTAGGAAATGAGAAAGAGGCCTAAATGTGAAGCAGTGCTATCTAAGTAGGTCATGCCAAGGACTGCCCCCCCTCTCCTCTCTACTAGGACAGATGATGTATATTTTACCTGCTCAAACATAAAACAAAAAATCATCTTTAACTGACTTGTGCATACCACGTATTCCATACTTGTATTAATACAGATATGTGTGTTACTTTTAAAAGTTTGTGTGTTTTCAGAACAAGGGTATCAAACATTGATGAAAATGGATAGCCCAGGTGATCCAACATCTCAGAGCATCTCTGTTGCAATTTCCTCATAGTTCTGCAACCAGAACAGTTTCAGAGCTGCTGAGTGAGATGGCCCAGCCTCACAGATTACTCCAGCCAGGACTCCAAATAAGCCTTACACTTTCCCATTACATAGAGATTGGACAAGTAATACAGCTAACTCTCCCAGGACTTGACCATTATCACACTTTCCCCAGTGCCCCCAGACAACAGGAAACAGTCTAGAAAACATGACACCAACATTCTCAGGAGATGGGATGGGTAATTTTTGGTCATTCAGTAGGTTATGGATGTTATTCACAGAAAAGTCTGTCAGATATTCTAGGCTTATAGGCTAATGATAGATACCCCATGTTGCAGAGGAACCTTGGATGATTGCCCAGGCAGCCAACTATTTCTATCATTTCTTATAGTTTGGAAGTTGTTTTCAATGCACTTCCTGTTTACTCAGGTAATATAAAGACTCCTTCTGGAGTCTTTGATGGAATTGAAGTTTAGATAGTCATAGTTATAGTTTTCCTTAGTTATGGTAGAAGGTAAATTAGATACAGAACTTTGGACTAAATACTGGAGTATTTTCTCCAAAATTGCCAAATACAAATGAATTGAACATTGCAAATATAATTCTTACCTGATAATTGTTCTTATTGTGTATAGTTTTATCATGTTAAAGTAAAATTTTTCCTTTTTATGTAGACAAAAATGAGGAAATGTTGTGGAATAGTCTTCTTGCACACTGTGAACATGTGTCTTTACCAAGGTGCCTTCTGATTGATTTAATAAAAAGCTAAATAGTCTTTATTATGAGGCAGGAGATACAGGTGGAAAAGTGAGAGAGAGAACTCTAGGAAGAAAAGGGCAGAATCACCAGTGGACAAGAGGAAACGGACATGAGAGAACGGACATAAAAATCACAAGTCATGTGACAATGCATAGATGAATAGAAATGGGTTAATTTAAGTTATAAGAGCTAGTTAGAAAACAAACCTATGCTGTAGATACAGACTGAGCTTTTATACTTAATTAGAAACCTCTGTGTCATGATTTGAGAGCTGGCAGGAGAGACAGAAAAATCTGCCTACATATATTTGTAAAAAAAAATAAAAATAAAAAGCAGCAGGAACAACAAAAAACTATTTGTTCTGTAACCATAAAGACTCCATGAAATTACTTCCACATTAGAACATGGATTTGAGGGCTCCTAAATCCTTTTTTCTAGGCCATAGTTACTCAAATTTGGCTCCAAATAAACTACCTATTTCTGTTTGAGAACTGTATTTTTTCAACACACAAACACCACACACACACACACACACACACATATATTTCATCCATAGTTCATAATTCTTTCCCCATATCATGCCTAGAAAACTAAAATTTCTCATTTCCAAAGTGGTTCATAGAAGCACCAATCTTTTCCTGACTTTCTGTTAAGAATGATGTAGGAAGTCCTGTATATATGTTGCTTTTATTGGTTGATGAGTAAAGTTGTTTTGGCCTATGGCAGTACAGAATATAGTCAGGTTGGAAGAAATATATAGAGTAGGTGGAATCAGATGCCATGTAGCTGCCTAAGGAGACAGATGCCTTCTGAACCCTTACCAGTAAGCCACAGCCTTGTGCTGATACACGGATTAATAGAAATGGGTTAATTTAAGATATAAATAAGAGTTAGCCAGGCATATGCCTAAGCTATTTACCAAACAGTGTTGTAATTAATACAGTTTCTGTGTTATTATTCATGTCCAGGCAATTTGGGAAATGAACAGTCTCTACATACAGAAAAAACTCTCTGGTTACCTTTTTACCTATAGTAAGTCATAAGACTCTCCTCATTCCAGAGGGATCCGTGCTTCTCAGAGAAGCTGAGAGGAATTTGAACAGGACAGGCATTGCTGGATTTTCTCAACAGGTTAGGCCATCTATCCCTAAAATACTAATTAGACATGTAATAGTAAAATGCAGAGAGAGATTTATTCAATGTGACCATATTGAGAAGAGGAATAGATATCCTCAAGTCTATCTATCTCTTTGGCACTCACCTGAGTTTTAGGTTTAAATAGAGGAGGAATGGGGCAAGGGGCAGGAGGTGTACATAATTAAGCAGGTCTTCTCTAAATGTGGCTTAGTTTGTCATATTGCCTCAATTCTGGTTCCGCAGGATGTTTTGAAGAAGTCCTTATTGCTGTAACTGCTTGAGAAATTCAATCTGGTTCACTGGAGTTGGTTATTTCTGTACTAGCATATATCTTTGCTCTCATGGAGAATTCCCTCATTTAAGGAATCATCTTTCCTGTGAAGTTCTGCTGTTCTTAGAATCCATGGTGACTTTATGTTTAGGGTGCTGACTTGTCTCTGTGCCTTTAGCCTTGAAGAGGGGTGAGTGCATAGAGGCACTCCTTGAGTGATTAACATGCCTATGTGAAGAGGTTAACAGGTAACCTAAAGGAAAAGGGGACAGGCATAAAATGAAGGCAGAAACTCCAGGTTTTCTCCTCTTGGTATCTTCCTGTTAAAGAAGGTACATATTTTTCTTTTAATTATTTTGAGATTATGTAGCCCATGTAGCTATGTAGCCCTATGTAGCTGTCCTGGAATTCTCTATATAGACCAGGCTGCCCTTGAACTTGCCTGTCTCTGCCTCTAGAGTGCTGGGAAAAAGCATACCCCACTACACTCAGTTAGTACATATTTCTTAAATAAAGGATAATTCAGTGTCCCACAAAGTATAATGAACATAATCAGCTTTGCATCATATTTGCCAAAATGAAAATTCACACACTTTCAGATTTGTGTAGTTAAAAGGATGGGGAAGTAAGACAAGATGAGTTACAGAGTAGATTTTCTTTTTTTTAATATTTATTTATTTATTATGTATACAGCATTCCTTCCATGTATGTCTGAAGGCCAGAAGAGGGCACCAGACCCCATTACAGATGGTTGTGACCCACCATATGGTTGCTGGGAATTGAACTCAGGACCTTTGGAAGAGCAGGCAGTGCTCTTAACCTCTGAGCCATCTCTCCAGCCCTCAGAGTAGCTTTTCTTTCTTCCTTCCTTCCTTTCTTTCTTTCTTTCTTTCTTTCTTTCTTTCTTTTTTTTTTTTTTTTTGGTTTTTTGAGACAGAGTTTTTCTGTGGCTTTGGAGCCAGTCCTGGAACTAGCTCTTGTAGACCAGGCTGGCCTTGAACTCACAGAGATCCACCTGCCTCTGCCTCCCGAGTGCTGGGATTAAAGGCATGCGCCACCATCGCCCGGCCTCAGAGTAGATTTTCAAATCAGTGATCTACACTGAATCTTTCAGGTAACTACAATGAAAAGAATGACAATAGTGGCAATAGAAAAAAAATAGCGTGTATTTCTTTCTAAAATTATCTACTTTCGGAGTGAAATTATGTCTGCATATAGTGTAAACCTGAGAAACTCACCCCAAAACATAGCATAAGACTGAGAAAAAGGTGAGCAGCTGGTATGGTAAGTCCTTCTGTCTATGTGTTGCTTTTATTGGTTAATGGATAAATCTGTTTTAGCCAGTGGCTTAATAAAATAGAACAAGGCATGAATTCCATGCAGATAGAGGAGGAAAGAAGATGGAGTCAGGGAGAAGCCATGTAGCTGCCATAGGAGACAGACACCTCTGCCGGAGCCTGCTGAAACTTTACAAGTAGACCACAACCTCGTGGATTAATGGAAATGGATTATCTTAGAATATAAGAAAATATGCTTAAGCTATTGGCCAAACAGTATTGCAAATAATATAGTTTCTGTGTAATTATTTCAGGTCTGAGTGGCCGGGAATGAACAAGGCGCATCTGGCAACAGATTGGCACCCAATGTGGCCAACTAAATCCACTTAAAACCTGAGGCAGCTTGGGAAGGAATTCTAGACACACACACACACACACACACACACACACACACA